AACATTTGCATTATGACACAACCATTAAAAAAGTTCTACGGGCACGTAAAGAAGCTTTCCGGAACACTGCATACTCAGTTCAACTACCGTACATGACCGGTCTGTCCCTCTAATTATCGTCCAGTTAGAAAACGAACGAAATAAGTGAAAAATTAACGAAAAGTTTGAGAAAGGACGAACCAAATTTTGTTAACTATTAATAAAACGAATAAAAAAGGTCGTTATTTCCGAACAATAAACGAACGAATAATAAAACGAACGCGCTCATATCTTCATCCTTTTTGTATTCATAGTGTGTGTATATATAAAGGATAAAAGCTCAGTCAAACTATACACTGAAGATCGGTATCTTTGAAAGGTCCAATTAAAATGACATTTGAGAATATATTTTAAATCAGAGAAAATCCGACATTTTAGACATCAAGCTGCTGGAAGGATTTGGACACGAATTTTATTTAAAGAGCAGGGGTCGTTAGAAAACTTGCTGGAGGGGGTGTGATACAATAACTGCAGGAGGGGTGTGATACAATAACTGTTTATGTGACTCGATAACAACATCGATATAACTACGAATGAATTAAATGAACAATAGTTATGTAAACAAGATTTTTCCGACAATATTTCGTTTTTTACATTTTCATTAAGATTAAGATTTGAATATTTGATCTTTCACCTCCAATCTTCAAAACATTTTTTGAACTCTTTACAGAGATAGTTACTATGTATTGTTTACATGAGAAAGATTTTATAACAAAATGTATTTAAATGCATGCATTTTTCATATAAAATTGCACCCCAATACAACGCTTTACAAGTATTGCATGCAGTAAATCGTAGCCGCCTCCCTCAAAACATTTGGCTGTGCTTTTGCGCCCCTAAAGTTTAAAGATTACCCCTTTCCTTCGTCCAGTCTAGTTTGAGAGTTTAGGAGGGCAATCTTCATAAATTCTTTACACGGAATTCTTTCCTATCATTGGACTCAAGCTCAGACTCTCCAGGTGAGGGGAGGGGATGGGATGGGTAGAGAGGAAAGGGGGGGGGTCTAGGGAGGAGTATTATGGTAAATAGAAGGGGGGGGGGTAGATTTGTTTTGTAAAAATTCAAAAGTAATTTTAGAAGTTTTGTAAGGAGACCAATAATCAGTATACGTTTTACAGTCGTTGTCGCATATATCAATACAATAAAGACTACTTTCAACTTTAATTTTGATTTATATTAACCCGACGTCTGGTTTCATGTCTGGTTCCGGGGGGGGAGGTCTATTTTCTTATTGTGATAATGCAAATCTATAACATTTGATACGTTTTAGGAAAGCCCTTGAGATCTACTTCATTAATCTGCAAAAAAAGGAAAATTTGCAAAAATAAAAATATGTATTGCAAAATCTAGCTATTAAGCAAAAATGCACATAAAAAGCGCAAATTGCAAAGTCTTTTACTCAGCGAATTCAAATGTGCAAAAACATTTGCAAAATTTTTAAAACCTAAATGTGTATTCAAGAAAAACTGAAAATGTGCAAATTACCTTTATAGTCGTCTGTGAAAAAATCTGCAAAATTTCTGGACAAAGATTGTGCAATCTGGTTGCTTTTATTATAGGCTTTCCAAAGAGCTATAAAATGTTATAATTCAATAACTGGAAGTAGTTTTAAATAAAGATTTAGTCTGGTATAGGTAAAATAATGCATTTAGGAAGTATGCCTGAGGACTCAGGCAGTAAGTATAAAAATCCAGCTTTTAGCCTTAAGTGATAGGCATTTGTTAATTGTTAGTTTGAGCTTCCTAACTAAAACACTTTTTGAGTTATCGCAAAAAAAAACGATAAGGGCGGGGATCAAATTGACCCACCCCCCAGGGTAAATAGGTTTAAGCTGTTAAACAGCATAGAAATCGAGAGAAGCTGTCAATTAAAAAAGCTTCTCTTTAATTAATTGTAAACTTGTAATTCGGAAAAAAGCTTGTGAACAATCAAAAATTTTATAAAGAATTGGTCTCCATTTTATTGATATAATCGCCTACCACTGCATTGTAACTACAGCTGGTTCAGCAGGTTTTGTGCAACTATCATCTATCAACGCCCTTACAATACAAATCCTAAAATTTAAAAAGTTCCCAAAATAAGGAGATTATTTTCCCGCCACAGGTTTCATTCAGGGACATCATCAGGGTCAAGGGGCGATAGTACAGAGGGGTTAAACGCGGCGCTTGGCCAAGAAAATGTCTTAACTATTGGGTCCAACCCAAACTGTTGGCTGAAGATCTAATGGTTTAATTTTATTGTGGAAGTTGGGTAAATTTTCACATTTGACTGACGTTGCCAGTGATAAGAGAGTGACAGAGATCAATTGAAATAGAAGATGGGCGCGAAGCGTCCTAAAAGCCTAGTATACTATATTAATCTTAAATCTACTCGGTTTTAGACCATCTACAGAGTTATGTAGTACAAAGGGAATCTAAAATAAGTAAAGTTTTGAACTCTGTATCTAAAATCGAAAAAATTGCGTATATTTTTTAGTATTAAACGTATAGCCCAACCATTTGTTGGTTGATCGAATATATTACATTGTGATGACAATTGGTTCATTAATATAGCTTGAATCAATTGAATCTATTCAATTTTTTCCGAATAAAAGACAACTGAAATGATAAATATGTCATGTAATGAGTAATGATCAATGTCGTTTATTTGTGCATAATTTTAGAAAGCTGTATTTTCAAAAATTTATTTAAACAAATTTAATCTACACCATTTATAAGTGTATTTATATCTTTGTGTGTGAATAAATCTTAATAATAGTAATAAAAGTGGACCCACGTATATCTTAGAATCTCAAAACCAAGCTAGGCAGATCTCCTGTATTTTACTTCTACGTTCTACCGAATCATGATTATCAGCTACAAAGTTTATTTCTTTTTCATTTGAATATAGTTTTAAACCAATTGTTGACAAAACTGTCCAGGGTTAAATTGGAGAGTAATATATGAGACACCTGGAGTTTATTAGTGGGCAGGGACGCCAATTTAAACCCTGTAAAGGAAATGGATTTTTGGGTGGAACACTGTTTTTCTTATTTGTTTTCTAAACCTGGTTTCTAGACACAAAATTAACAAAAAGGTTTAGGAGATGAATTTTAAACTGATAATTTTCCTGTCAACCCGTCAAATGTTTGAACCGTTGGAGCAAGAGAGAACTTTAATTGATGACCTCACTTCCTATTCTTAATATTTGAGTTTGTAACAAAAACTTTCAGGTTAATTAATTATGCTTTTTTTCAACAATATGGCAAGGTATTTAGTGAAGGAATTGAGTCCTCGCCACAAACCCTAATTTAATTTTCTAATACCTTGCACCACGATGTCGTAGACATGAGCTTTTTCAAACTATGAATTTTATAAGATTGAATAATCTAAGTTTAAAATATCAAAGGTTTACGCCATTAGGTTGTAAATATATAGGATTAAAAAATTTGGGTTTGTGGCAAAGATTCGATTTCTGTAATTAATATTTTGTTTCGGTGTTGTGGACAAGACGAAGTCAAATTTTATAGAATCAATAAAAACTATTAACGCCTTAAAATATCTACAGGGTGTCCCAAAAAACATGGGAATTCAGTGACGAATTTGATATGGTCTTTGTTATGAATTAGTATTGTAATACCTAATTTCAAAAGCCATAATATCATTATGCCTGCTAGAGTTTATTTTATTGTTTTACTAAGTACAACCGTTTGCAGTCAAAACATAAACAAACAAAATGTGAACATAGCAGACGAAACTCTTACTTACAGATTACAGCTTTCTTAGTAGGTATACTGAATCTAAAAAGACGATATCGAATTCGTCACCATGAATTCCCATGTTTATTGGGACACCCTGTACCTAAGGGTTAATTTTAATAATATAATTATAATATAATATAAATAACAAGGCTATCTTCTATTTCAAATTTTGGTTTCGTTTTAGGGCCAATCGGTTCAGCCGTTTTCGCGTTTTACAAACGGACAGACACCCAGACACGCACAGTATATACATAAATAAATTAAATCACCTTTATTTTAATTAAATAAGTCAAAAAGTATAAAAGCACTGAAAAATAAAACAATTTTACTGGATGAAAAAAATGACCCATTCAAATAAAATTGGCTTAATTCTTATACTGAATAAACGCATTTAAATACAATGTTTATACAATGTACAATGTACATAGTCGCACAAAAAATTATTGAACCTCGTTAAAGCATTTTACGGATGTTTTGAACAACATAAACAGTAACTCTTACTTAACTGCTGTCTTGTATTTATGATACAGGGTGTCCAAATAAACATGGGAGTGTCGAATTCGAAACAAATTATAAACTGTAAATGTTTAGCTTTGATATATTTATAAAAGAACTGTTTGTCAGACTAACCATACAAAGCACGAAATTTCGCATGAATACGAAAAATTGAAATTTTTGTACAGCATTGTGCATGAAAACGAAATTAAGTAATATGTGTTGCATGCCATATATAGTGCATAAATATGAAATATTTTAATATTTGGATAGTATGGTGTGAATTAGTTTCAGTAAACAAACAACTTCCAACTAATCTTGCTCGAAATGACTTTTTATGCACGAAATTCCGCATCATTTTCGTATCAATACGAAACCAGTTTTGCACGAAATAGCGTAATTCATTCGAAATAAATAACAAATTTTCCACGAAATTTCGCATGAATACGAAATTTAAGTCCGAATTTGTTCATGATATTCGCATGAATTTTTGCATGTAATTTTGCAATGCCTATGAATAGGAAAAATTGAAAACTCTACGGATTACAGTTTCTCAGTACTTAGGTATCACCATATCACCAATCACCATTTTATATCAAAAAACCGTTAAAAATACCATATGAAAATCCTCGCTAAATTCTTATATATGTAGGGACATCCTGTATCTTGAATCTTTTACAAACTATGAAATTTGTTCACCGAAATTTAACATGGTTTCAACAAGTGGTCGTTTAATAGAGTTTATTAGCTATCTTTGGGGTCGTTTAATGGAGGTTATTAGTTATTTTCGGGGTCGTATGCTAAGTTGACCCCCAGCCACTTTTCTGTTTCAGCGATGGTCTGACCCTTTCGTTGAGCATAGTTTTCTATCTGATCCTTCTCAAGTTTTCCAACCGAGAAGTAGGTAGAGCTCGGGTGTGCGAAGTATAAACCAGATACAGAGGCGGCTGGATTCATGGCTAATAAAAATACAGAGTAAAAATCATTTTAAAGAAAAATGTGTAATATGTTTATAATAGAGCTTTTCGCTCATTTTCATATATTTAGATGTATGTATATATACTTATATGTTAGCTATTGCTAGCCTAACGGCTTAACCGAATTGGATGTAATTTTTTAAGGAAACCAATGGTTACCTTGGGGGTAACATAGGAAAAAAAAATGATTTTTTTTCAAAAATCGAATAATTAGATTTTTTAAAATTCCACGGGCACTTCATGAAACATCAAAATTTTCTTTTGCACTATTCGGAGACCAGATTTAATGAAAAGCAGGAAGAAGTTGAACTAAGTATACATCGCGGAACCAATTCTCTTGAGCAACGATTCAAGTAGAAGAAAAGCGATTCCACTTCGTCTACTTCGTCCCAGGAAAATGACAGTTCAGATCGTCTTTGATCTTCTTAATATATTGCAGCATTGATTTGTCCTTTTTATACAAGTATGACTCTTAACACAATAATCACTATTTACCCTAATCCTGGCTTCCAAAATGAAGTATACTTAATTATTACTTTAATATTATCGGAGCTAATTGTACCCAATATTTTAAGTTGACAAATGAATGCAACAATTTACTGTGTAAGTCAAAAAGGTACAATTTTGCACCAGGCGCTGCTAATTACAATTTTTTTACTCACCCTGTATATAAAGATCAACGACGACCTTTAAATTGGTATGTTTCATGGGATACCCTGTACTTAAATATCTTCTCGTCATACATTAAATTTGGTCCCAGAAATATGCAAGTTTCCTTAACTTCCTACCTAAGCTCTCCGAAAGTTGTATTCCTGTTTTCTCCTCTATATCTAAGAGTCTCCACATTGTCGTCTTCTCTGTATGGTCTGGCTGGGAAGGGTAGCCTGGAGCAGGACGGATACCTGCCTTGCATCAAATCAAATCAAATCAAATCAAATCAAATCAAATCAAATCAAATCAAATCAAATCAAATCAAATCAAATCAAATCAAATCATTTCTTTATCAAATCATTATCAAATCAAATCAAATCATGAATTTTAGAGAACAGCTTGAGGCCCCATTAAAGGGACTGTATGCGAAATTTCAAGTGATCTTCCATTTAGAAAAATTGCATGTTCGATACACAACGATACCCTAAAACCTTTAGCGGGAAATTAATGCCAAGAAGCCGCGCGAGTGTACACTCGCACTGAGAGTACAGTGTACACATGCATGGAAAGTTCCGATTTTACAAGAACTTTTCAATACGAGTAGGAATAATTCATATTCGATAATAACGTAATAACTAATAACTGAAATAATAAATATGCTAATAATGAGTTTAAATGATCAATGCATAACTTTGCATATTCTTTATATTAGAAATATCTAAACAAATTTAAACTACACCATTAAAATATGTATGTGTATCTTTGTGTGTTTAAAAATCTGTATGATAATATCAATTTTGATCTGTTTGACCCAATAATTTGATCTGTGCCCACTCACTAATGGTAAAATTTACAATTAAATTTCATGAATACGAAATCTTTATTCATAAATATTAACAATTACCTTGATAATTAATCTTATGGAGATCGTCAGCCCGAAGCTCTTCGGACCTTGAATAGAATTTATATCAATCAAATGAAGACGCCATTTATATTTAAGCTTTGATTTTTTAATTTCAAGTTTACACGAGTAAACAAAGGGAAGCTTGACAGTTTTTCTTTATTCCCATGTGTGTATCCATGCTGATTTAAAGCTTGCTAGAAACGAATAATTGAAATCGAAAGTAGTCTTCTTTGAACGACGACGACTGTGGTCAAATATTTTTTTCAAGCGATTGATGGAAAATGGAAAAATAATGTTATAACTAAGGACCTGTCCATGTTCGTTGTCCAATCTGTAATTTAATACAATTATATATATTATATATTATATGAATTTATGTACATACTACACACCTTAGAAACTTTTGCCATATGAATTTGGATGTGTTTTACCTGTTATATCCCCAGAGCTGTGTTTTACCTATTATATCCCCAGAGCTGTGTTTTACCTGTTATATCCCCAGAGCTGTGTTCTACCTGTTATATCCCCAGAGCTGTGTTCTACCTGTTATATCTCCAGAGCTGTGTTCTACCTGTTATATCCCCAGAGCTGTGTTCTACCTGTTATATCCCCAGAACTGTGCTTTACCTGTTATATCCCCAGAGCTGTGTTTTACCTGTTATATCCCCAGAGCTGTGTTTTACCTGTTATATCCCCAGAGCTGTGTTTTACCTGTTATATCCCCAGAGCTGTGTTTTACCTGTTATATCCCCAGAGCTGTGTTTTACCTGTTATATCCCCAGAGCTGTGTTCTGACCATCTCATGAAGCTTCTCTGCGAAAGCTTCAGCTAGTCGGTCAGCCAAGCTCTTCAGCATTATTACACTGTAATCATCGTGCTCAGCTTCAAACCTTAAAAGGAAAACAAATATTTGGCCATTTTAGATTTTTTTTAAACGATGAAAATTACTTTTTACAGAGCTCATCTGTCCCGAATCCTGCGCTAACTGCGAACGCTCCAATGTAATCCTGCAGTCCAGATTCTCTAAAAATAGAATTTGAAGTTAGAAAAATTAAAATGTTCCATATAAAGGGACTGTTTCAGCGTGTAATTTCAAATGACCCTCCATGCATAGATATTGATGTGGAAGATATTGTCGTTTTCCTAGCGTTTAAATTGTTCTGCACTAAAAATGCCCACATTTCCCTTTATAGAGAAAACACAATTGAAACGGTGTGTTTCTCTCAACATTTTAAACATTAATTTACAACTTAAACAAAAAATGTCAAGCTTTTAAGGGTACCGTTGTGAATCGAGCATAACCTTATTTGCGTTGAAAGTACGCTCACAGTCCCTTTAAGCTTTAATGAAAATTCATTGATATTTGAAGAAAAAACATGTTACTTTGGAGCAATATAATCTGATATGCAGGCAAATGAATCGTTCAGCTCCTTCTCTGTTTGCTGGCGTAGTCCGTAAAATCTTGCCACCTCGGTCTCTAAAAATGGACATCGTTTGAGGGACGTTTTCAAACTTTTTGTTCGGCTCCCCAACAATCTGAGATGTTATCCTGAGTTTAAAACTTTAGAATTGCGAATGTCGAGATCTTTTCATTTTATTAATTCCAAGATTTCAAACTCAATCAATCGAGTTGGGTTTGGAGAAACTGCAGAATCAGAGAAGCCGGGAAATTTGAAATGTTGCGCGCCCTTTAATGAGTCCACTCTAATTGGTCGGGAACTAAAAGTATTTAGCTCTCTTCAATAATTTTATGATTGATAGAATTGCTTTTATTAGTTTAAACAACAAATTTTCTCCCACCTAAGATATTGACCCAAAGTGGCGTTTGTTAATGTCCATGAGTACCTGTATCCTCGGAACCGTACACTATGATGTCATCTACTGTACTTGAAGCGGGATAGAAACCAACAATTCCACGTGCTTCCAGCAGATTTTCCTTTACAATAGTTTTCAGCATGTTTTCAGCGTCAGTAAATAGCTTCCTAGCTTCCTCACCAACAGTTTTGTCGTCAAATATTTTAGGATATCTTGAGTTAGGATATTTTCCGCGTAATTGCCAAGTATCAAAAAAAGGTTTCCAGTCAATATACTCGACTAGAGATCCCAGGTCGTAGTTGAGAAAGGTCTGGGTTCCCAGGAATGTTGGTTTGATAATACTGGAACAGTTCCAATCTATTTTGGTCCTAAGCTGACGAGCCTTTTCCAGAGATACATATTTTTTCTCTCTCAGGTTCTCATAGTGGTCTTCTCGAACCTGCAGATAAAATGTTATTTTTACAAAGAATTCTCATTTTATCTCGAAAAAAATTTCTTGAAATTCTTATTTTCATGAATGTTTAAAAATTTTTGTTCATGATTTTATAGACATAACCTTCTATCATTTCAAGTTTGTGTTTATCACAGTCGTCGTTGTCGTCTATATCAATACAATGCCGAAAACTTTCGATTTTAATTTTTGTATCTACCAAGCATTGAAGCAGCATGAATACACATACACATGTATAATCATAACCAAAGAGAAACTATCAATTAACAGATTCTCTTTGTTTTCTTGTCAAGTTTGAAAAAAGCTTATAGTAAAACAAATCTTGAACAGAAAAGTCGTCTTCTTTGTATTGATATAAACAACCGAATAATAAATATAATAGGCTGACCTCTTCATATTCCTCCTTTATATCTTCCAGATATTCTGCTTTCATCTTCTCGTCAAGTAAAGAGGAACACTAGAAAAATATTAAATTATTTTTATTAGTAATATTAATTTTTAAATAATGAAAAATTGCCAAAATAAATTATGATGTTAGGTACTTTCTCAAAGGCATTTACCCAAGAGTATTTTCCCAAGTGGCAAATTTCCAAATGTGTAATTTCACAAGCGGCAACTTCCCAACTCCGAAGTCTGTCCTAGACTATAGGCACTCGGCCCCTAGCATGTTCTAGCCGCGGCGCTCGGCCCACATTGCAGCATGTGGCACCTCAGAAAACTTAACCTATTCTTTGGGAAGTTGCCGCTTGGGACATTGCACATTTGGAAAGTTACCAGTTGGGAAATTGTCTCTTGGGAAGTTGCAGTTAGGAACACACGTAAATATTATGTACTTTTTTATGCAATATAATTAATTTTATCGTAATGATTGTATCTACTTTTTATTTATTATTCTTACCACTACAACACTTCTTGAAGCATCCAAGACATGAATAACGGGCTCTGTGTACCTAAAGAAAATGGAATTAAAACAAAGTAAAAACTGATTTTTCAATAATTGTACAACCACAGCATTATTATTAAGTATTAAGACAGATAATTTCTGAGTTGAATAGAGTACTTCAGAGACAGACGCATCCAATGCGATTATTGAGACCCATGAATCTACTCCAAACATTGTCCAACATCACTTCATACCTACATAGCCCGTTAAAATCATATTTGGGAAATGAAATCAAAGTTTTTAAGAAAGTTGAAAGATTGGAATGGAAACGCGCAGGCGCACGGAAAAAAAAAATGCAGTCCTGAATTTCTTATAAAGTGTGATTTTTATGCGTGTTTGCGGAGTTTGCGCAGCGCAGAAACACATGATTTGGCTAAATAATATCATATTTGTGAAATAAAATCAAACCTGTGCATTTGAAACGCAGAAACGTTCTCTTTTGAGAATTGAATATTTGTATTTGTTTTATTGAAATTTTGGAAGGCGCACAGGCGCACGGAAAAAATGACTATATAACCCCAATTTTGATTTTGGGGCTATTTACATCTATAGACATAGCCCAGACTCTACAATAGGTTGACACACGAATGGGGTCAAAAAAATTTTGTTTGGTGTACATAGTTTCTATGGGTGATGTGGCTCAATATGAACATTTTGTGAAAATTATAGGTTGATTGGAACATGCATCAGGTGGAAGTCGTAGATTTTGTTAAGGAAAGGGGGGGACAATTAGACACTTTGAGACACTAACACTTAATAGAGGCTGCATTTGGTTCTAAATAATGCGATAAAAGGCTCCTATTGTGGCCCTCTAAACAAATCTCAAAGAAAATTTGGGATCGGAGGTCCATCAAAAATCAAGATTTTGCAGGCTTTTGCAGGCAGGGTGAACCAAAGTTTTGTTTCACCTTTTTTTCTGAATTTGAACATGCACATTGCACAGAGTCTCAAATGGTTACAGCGATATTTGGAGCACCACCGACCCCCACAAAAAAAAAATTGGGCCCTTATCCTAGTAGGATCAGCTGCACGTAAAATTGATTTTTTCCGCTACGAGGAGATTTTAAAATTCATCTATTAGTTTAAACATAATAGTTGATTTCAGTTCTTGACAAAAAAATCATATCAGGCAATAAGTACTTAGTTATAGACTTTTGTAATTTCAGTTTTAAATGAGACGTATTTTTTTTAAAATTAGTTTTCTGTGCTCAAAAACCACCAACAGCACATACAGGGGTTGGCCCTGATAATGAGGTGTTTCAGTAAAGCCGTTCAAAGCTAGGAGTTAAATAGCTTATAGGTCAAACAGGTAGCAGTTCATTACTAAGTGGTCAATCAGGTAGATAGTTGATAGGAAGGCAGTCAATCAGGTAGACAGTTCATAGATAGGGGTCAATCAGGTAGAAAGTTAACATCTAAGGGGTCAATTAGGTAAACAGTTCATAGATAGGGGTCAATCAGGTAGAAAGTTAATATCTAAGGGGTCAATTAGGTAGATAGTTCATAGATAGGGGTCAATCAGGTAGAAAGTTAATATCTAAGGGGTCAATTAGGTAGATAGTTCATAGATAGGGGTCAATCAGGTAGAAAGTTAATATGTAAGGGGTCAATTAGGTAGATAGTTCATAGCTAATGTATTTCATTGAGTGAAATGTCGTCTTCTTAAGGTTTTTTAATGCGTTTGTTTAATCAGTGTTCACCTTGGATCAATTTTAACTGCTGTATGTTGTTTTGAAGTTGTTGCTCCGCCAATAAGTAGAGGAATTTTCAGTTTTAATCTCTCCATCTCCCTGCAGGACCAAATTTAATGAATTTTAGGGGGTAGCTGAACTGCCTAAATTTGAGTCACCAATTCAAATCCTTCCTGAATCTTGAACTTTAAATAGGTGGTTCAAATTTTAACCATCAGTTAGTTGTTCAGCGACAAAGCTCAAATTCATTAAATTTGGTCCCTGGCTACATGAATCATCTCATCCAAGCTAGGAGTTATCAGACCAGACAAACCAAGGATATCAGCCTAAAAACAAGGGTGTATCACAGCTAGCATATAGAGATGAGCGCGTTCGGGATTTTTTCAGTTTGTTCGTTCATCGTTCCTTAATGAACCATTTCGTTTGTTTAATTTTCAGTTGTTCAGTATACATTTGATTCAGAGACGATTTTACGGAATTTCGTCCGCTTTCTTGCATTCAAGGTTTCTTGTAGGTCAAAACTGACTTTTTTTTCTGTGCTTATCCGCATTCAATTGAGAAACCAAAAAAGAAAGCTTCAAATCGTCATCTATTTAAAGTCGTTCTTACTCTAAACTATAGTCTCATTCTTTGCGTCTAACCCTACAGATTTACCTTTTCTCTGAGTACAGCTTCAAGTATTCTGTCAGCTGGAACCATTACTCCCAGGTCAATAACCCTGTAGTTATTACAGCCTAGAACCACGCCAACAATATTCTTCCCAATATCATGAACATCACCCTTTACTGTTGCCAGGACTACAGTTCCTGCCCATCTATCCTAGATTACAAGATGGATGTCAAATCTAAGCTTATCTAAAGTTTTAATTTCAGTTTTGATTTGACTGTATTCCTAGCATAAGAAGCCCGTTTTCATTTTGTAATCTTGAGAAATTTTTTTAGAATTGGTTAATACTCCCCCCCCCCTTCCTCTTTCAACAGTTCCGTTTCCATTCGGAATTCTGTTGCGGGATTGCGTTAATTATGCTGATATGCGAGAAATTATGCGAAATTGCGTCGAATTAATACACCTGCAATTTCGCGTACGTTACAAAAAAAGCTGTTGCTATAATATATAACTATCTTTAGCCTTCTACGGGAAAATTACAGTTGGATGTATTGCACATTCTATGCGGTATGATAGGATAGGAAACCCGATCAAACAGAAGTTCTATTTAGAAAAAAAAACTACAAAATTTCTTACAGATTCTTGAACTTGTTCTCCTGAAAGTTTAAACTGTGCTTCTCTCTCCTCCTCCATGAATGGAATAAGGTGAGCTACGGCCTTCTTCATCACCCTAGCTGACTTTATCACCTAGAATACAAGTTTAGGGCGTTAAAATAAATAACTTTAAATTGGTTAAACAAATTATCATCTGAAAAGTTCATAAAAATTTAATATTTTCCTTTCAACAGTGTTTTAATTGCCCATGTAGAAATAAAGATTTTTCTCCAAGTTTAATTTAAACCTGAGGAAGAAACATTTTTCCAGCTCCGAACAGATCTCCAACAACAGACATACCTTTCATCAATGGTCCTACAAAAAAATACGAGTTATCTATATATAAATTTGGCTTGTCTGTCTGTTTGTTTGTTTGTTTGTTTGTCTGTCTGTCTGTTTGTTTCCAATAAACGTCAAAACGGCTGAACCGATCGGGCCCAAATTTTTTGTGGGACATCTAGGGACCCCAGGGAAGGTTTATGAATGATCAAAATTTCAAATATTTGTCTCCATCAAAATTCGATCTTGATTAAATTTTTGAAAATTTTGAAAATCCACGAAATTTTTTTGTAAAAATCCGCGAATTATTTTTGTTTTGTTTTACGATTTACACAAAGAGAACATGTTCACAATTAATTTAGAAGATGGGCGCGAAGCGCCCTCTAAGGCTAGTTTGTTAAAAATGACAATGTGCACAGTTTCCAATGAGAATCGATAACATTAGTTTGAAAAATCATAAGAAGCAAAATTGCAATGTTGTATGTTTGGAATTTTATTTACTGAAACAATTTACAATTTTAAATTAATGTATACTTGCAGTAACAGATATGTATATTTACAGTGCTCACATTCGGCTTCTTTAAAAGCACAAAGTGGCTTTATGCAGCTAATGTTTTCCCTTCTTTAGTCCTTTTTTAGTGTCTTATACGCACTCAATTTTCAAAGTATTATAGGGTTGACAAAATGTTGACAAAATTTTGACAAAATGTAGAGAAAGTTCTGTGAATGAGAAACACTGTTTTTTGAAAACTACTCAACAAGTAATTTTAGAATCAATACTATGGTATCTTTTTATTGAGAAGTTTGTTCATGTTCAATGTCTGATGCATGTGCTACAGGGCATGACGTCCCAACAAGCTCTGAAGTTTCTTAAGGTATGATCAAAAAACAAATTTAAACAATAGTGAGAAGCAGTTAAATGTTATAAACGTAGTTCAAACAGCGCAGGTTCAAGTGATGTGATTCAACTTATGTCAAAGTTCAATTACTTCTCTCTATTAATTTAATTTGGTTCCAAATACATCTATTATGTTATGGCATCAAAAACTTTCCTTGTCTCTAAAATTTTGAAAGTTTAAAGGAATAGTAAGCCTAATTTCAAGTGACCCTGCATGCGAAGATGGAAATGCTCTATTTATGACGATACCCTTGAAACCTTAATCTGATTAGATTAGAAGTTACTTTTGCAGAGAAATCTCAAATGAAATTAAAGAGCTTACTAAAAAAAGACATTGATTTCAAATTCATACTTGATTAAACAAAGCTATAAATTCTACGGTTATAAATTGGCTACCTTCGATAACATTGAGAGGACGAGGGTAAAGAGATTTATTAGTTCTTGCTTCTTCTGTATCTTCCACAACAAATTTGTCAATTCCTGAAAAAAAAATAATAAATGTCCACACAAAATTTGTTCTCATATCTACGTAAGAAAAAAACACGATTAAATTGAAAATTGTTTAAGCTCTATAGGTAGGGGGGGAACAAAGTTCGAAAGTGTTTTGATTTTTTTGTGTAATTTCTCTTCCGTCTGCTTTAGATTGAATATATTTGGTTTGGTTAAATGTATGTTTATATTATCATATTGAAAAGCCTAGTTGCACTGCAATGCAATGTAATTTAATTATCAAATCATCAAAAAAAAATAAAAATTGTTGAATTTGATTATTTAATTTGTCAAGACTAATTCACCTTTGATTAAAGAATGTTGAAGACGGTTTTCTACTGAGCCATTTCTCCATTCATCAACTACTGCTGCAGTCTAATTTATAAATTCATGATTTGAAAATTTAGATTTCCAAAGATTGTTAATTTCTTCAATTTATGTTATGCAAACTTTCTGCAAAATTTGTTCACAGTTTTTGCAACACTTGTTAAAAAATATTTCTCTAGTTGAAAATGTTTCATCATTTTTGAATTTAGTCAGGTAAGATGGTTTGCAAAAATGTTTAAGAAATATTTTGAATTTGTGCAAAATAAAGTGCAAAATGAGAATTACAAAAGTTTGCAATTTTCCTTCATTGTTCTATTTTGGAAAGAACTTTAGAGCAATTCATAATCATATGATATATAACTTTTATGTAAATCAATGTTTTTTGTTTATTTGTGCGATTTTTTTTCAAAACAGAATTGGCCTTTCAGAGCTTTCAAAAAAGTTTTTTTTTCCAATTAAACATTTTCTTAAAGTTTACGCTAACCTTAGCCCCTGCAGAATGCTTCTCCGCATAAGCCAGAAGTTTATCAGTACCTAAACATGTAAGCTAATTAATTAATCCCATCTACTATTTCAAGTTTTAATAGTGGCTCTATCTTTTTGTACAAAGTAAAACAATAACAAAAAAATTTCGCGAATTTAGGAATATTTTTCGTGGATTTAGAATTTTTTTGCAATTCTGAGCATTCATAAACCTTCCCTAGGGTCACGTGATATGCCTAAAAATAAGGAGCTTATACGGATACAAGCAAAGTATTTATATAGATTGAGATTGATCGAAGATTTTAAAAAAAATATTTAACTTTTGCTATTTTTACCTTCAGGATCCCTGTTCCAGAGCAGATCTTCACAAAGTTTCAACAGTTCAGTTTCTATATCGTCATACAAGGGAAGATTTCCTGCATTTACAATTCCCATATCCATACCCTAATATTCAGTTTTATCTTTTACATTTAATTAAGTATTTGCTTCTGTTTGTCCCATAAAATTCTCTAAAATAACATAGCAAAATATAAAAATCTAAAAAATGGGTTCTTAAATTTTTATTATTCTACATACCCGACAAGACAGGAAACGTTTCTTACCAAACAATGGTTGTGCGGTTCCTACAGGAACGTTTCTCTATCGTTTCCGTTACGTTACATGGAAACGTAACGTTACGTATCGTTTTAGAATCGTATTTGAAACGTTTTTGAATCTTCTATAGATGCTGAAATTGTGTTCAGTGAACTTTCCAACAAGAAATTAAATTCACAAAATATAAAACTTGCATTCTCTAAAATAACCCAGGAAAATAGTAAAATCTAAAGATATATTGCAAATTCTATTAGATACCCTTCAGAATACGAAATGAAATTCATAAAATATAGTATTTGCTGCTTTAATTCGTAACATTCTTTAAAGTAACCCAGCAAGATACGGTGGTAATCGATTATATCAATATAAAAAAGACGACTTTCAATTTTAATTTCGATAAAAAATATGGAAAAAAGACAAATTGTCAATTTAAAAAGCTTCTCTTTAATTTAAGGTTTGATTTTTTGGATGCTGAAATTATTTCGGGGAGCCTTTTCCATGTTGTATTCATTAAACTGTTCCTTTTGAATTGCATGGTAAAGGAATACACTATGCATAGCTTCCCGTATAAACTCCTTTCCTCTGAAATGTAAAGGCGTAAAGGGACTGACAGCGTAATTTTAAGTGACCCTCTATGCAAAGATGACAATATTCGATTTACAACGGTACCCTTGAAACCTTAATCTGATCAAAAATGTGGAAGACACCGCTATTTTTCAGACTATATGTGTTTATTTTTATGAGTTTCTCTATTGCTTCTTACTAACAAGAAATGCGTAAGTCGCAAGACAAACAGCAAATGAAAAAAAACAGTTTAAAGATAGGAAAACTTTGAAATATAATTCACTCTCGATCCGACACAGCTTTAAAGGGTATCGTTGTAAATTGGGTATTGCCATCTATGCATGGAGGGTCACTTAAAATTACACTTACTGCAGTCCCTTAAAGCTAAATTTAAGATAGTCTTAAATTGTCGAAATTGGATTCTTCTATTGGTCTGTGTAAGAATGTAAATTATTACACGCCATCCTTTCGCGGTAATTTTAGTGTATTCAAATTGCATTTTTCGAAATAAGGAAAATAGTTTTAAAATTCGTTGATGACGCTTGACCAAACCTCTGTAGAGTTAAAAAAAAAGTATGTTTATTCTACATTTTATTAAAAATATATTTCGGTCTAGGTTGACCCTCGTCAGTTCTTGAGATTGTTTCTGTCATGAAGATTGAAAACAAAATAGTTTTGGATCATGGGCACCCCCACTCGATGCACTTCTCGGATATATAATTCATAGACCTCTGACCTCTGACCTCTGACCGCTGACCTCTGACCTCTGACCTCTGACCTCTGACCTATTACCACTGACCTCTGACCGGTTGATGTTTTGCCACATTACGATAAGAATACTGGAGCAATGAATGTGAAATAAATTTTACCTGAAAGAGAATGAAAAGTTTGATACACCTCCGCTAATCCTACAGCCCGGACAGGTCGCCTTTTCATAAAATCAAGCTATTTTAACTATATAAACAGTACTGGCTTAAAACTCCAGCTTTGCCTGAAAACGATTTTTTCCCTGTAAAGTCAAACCACGAAATTTTTAAACATAGCTGAACACCTTCCAGGTGTTCTATGGAGTTTCCTTAAAATTAAATATTTCCTTAAAATTAAATAGTCACTCTTAATTTTTTACTTTTTAACATTAACTCGATCTTTTCCTTAATAATGCTGGTCGCCTCTATGAAGTCTCTCCCATAGTTGTTGTGCTCTTCCATTCCAGTAGCGATGGTCAGTATGTTGGGGTCAAAAATTATGTCATTTGGATTAAACCCAACCTATATTAAATATTTATTATTTAAATGATTCTGCTGTGGTAACTTAAAGATCACAAAAAGATTGTAATCGTGTTTTCAAGTAACCATTTATGTAAAGATGACAATGCCCGATTTACAACGGTACCCTTAAATGCTAAGTCTCGCATCAAGTATAAATTATATATCTATGTTTTTGTTTCTTAATTTTTTTTTATTTGCGGTTACTGTGACCAGCGAATTTCTTGCTTATAAGCGGCAAGCTATAGAAAAATTTTCAGAATTAAACACTTTTTCAGTCAGAAAAAATGTTATCTTTCACATTTTTTATCAGATAAAGGTTAAAGGGTACAGCTGTAAATCAGGCATTACCATCTTTTTATGGATGGTCACTTAAAATTACGCTAACAGTCCCTTTAATATTCACTATTATCTAATATCTAGACAGTTCCTTTAATATACGCCATTTTCTAATATCTAGACAGTCCCTTTAATATCCACCATTATCTAATATCTAGACAGTCCCTTTAATATACGCCATTTCCTAATATCTAGACAGTCCCTTTAATATCCACCATTTTATAATATCTAGACAGTCCATTTAATATCCACCATTTTATAATATCTAGACAGTCCCTTTAATATCCACCATTTTATAATATCCACCATTTTCTAATATCTAGACAGTCCCTTTAATATCCACCATTTTATAATATCTAGACAGTCCCTTTAATATCCACCATTTTATAATATCTGGACCTTTTCTGTGAGAATCTTATAAGATCTCTGGCATATTTCAACTTTTCTATCACATTCCGCCGCCTGGCCCAGTTCATCAAATGCCATGACGACTACAGCTCCTCCAAATCTCTTAACAAAATATGAAGATTATATTAATGAAGACGACAACAATTTTGATTCTAACAATGTGAGTAAAAAACTGTATTTGACCAATCAGGAGATTCAGAAAATGAGGAAAAATCAGTGTTCGGAAATTCTCACAGATTGTTCGATACTTACTTGGAATACTTTTTTTTAAATTGATCATTCATGAACTTAAAACCGCAGAAGTCCTTATCCCTTACCTTGATAGTTGTTGCTTTCTCAATAAAATCTTGTTCCCCAGCTTTCAAGGATATAGAGTTGATGATACATTTTCCCTGTAAACATTTTTCAACATTTTTCAACATTTTTCATAATTTTCCAACATTTTTCAATTTTTTAAAAATATAACTTACCTGAGTACATTTAAGACCCGCTTCAATGACCTCAAAATTTGACGAATCTATGCAGAGCGGGACCTGAGAAATCATTTATTATTTTTGACTTATTTTTCTTTCATCTTTCATAACAAAATTAACGAGTTTTAAATCTTTTAAGAGTATCTGTAATGGTCGGCAATTATATAAATTCAATAAAGACGAATTATAAAGGCTTTGATCCCTAACAAGCAGGAAAACAAGATGAGATGTTAATTGACAACTTCCCGTTGTTTAAAAGTTTAAGTGCTACTACTGTTTAACAGCTTGATCTTTATTGTATTGATATATACGACGACTATTGTATATAAATTATTAACCTTTGATATGTCTGGTTCTGATGATATGAGATTGCAAAACTTGCTCATAGCAGCCTTACCGTCCAACATTCCTTTACAACATATCAAACTTAATCTAATTAGCATTAATAGGTTATTTGAAGAAAACTGAAAAGAAGCATGCTTTAATAGGTGATTTTAAGAATAGTAATAAGCATGCTTTTATTAGTTGATTTTGAGAAAAGTGATTAGCTGATTTTGAGAAAAGTGATAAGCAGGCTTTATTAATTGATTTTGAGAAAAAAGATAAGCATGCTTTTACTAGTTAATTTTGAGAAAAGTGTTCAGCAGGCTTTTATAAGTTGATTTTGAGAAGAGTGATAAGCATTCTTTTATTAGTTAATTTTGAGAAAAGTGATGAGCATGCTTTTACTAGTTGATTTTGAGAAAAGTGAAAAGCATGCTTTTATTAGTTGATTTGGAGGAAAATATTAAGCATGCTTTTATTGGTTGATTTTGAGAAAAGTGATAAGCATGCTTTTGTTAGTTTTGATAATAGTGGTAAGCATGCTTTTATTAGTTGATTTTGAGAAAAGTGTTCAGCAGGCTTTTATAAGTTGATTTGGAGGAAAATATTAAGCATGCTTTTTTTTAGTTAATTTGGAGAAAAATATGTATTCTACAAGATCAGTTTACATGAACACTTTTTATTAAACAAATTTAATTTAGATTCGAGAAATAAGATTGATCTTAAAATAAATCACCTAAACGAATTTCTAATAAATTTCTACTAATTATAAAAAAAGAAGACTATGAAGTGAAATACTTTAAAAATACAGTGTAACCCTTAATAACGAATACATCGGAAGAATTTATCAAATGTCGTCTTGACACTTTTTCAATAAGTTTTATACTATATTACGTAAATTTCAGTATTTGCGAAAATAAATAAATAGCTATGAATATGCGGGAACAGTTTTAAAGAGTTCCATATAATCATTTAATTAAAAAACTAAATATCTGCAACATTCCATTATCAGAAAGTGAAGAATACGACATTTGATGAATTCTTTCGATGTATTCGTTATTAAGGGTTTCACTGTAGCAGATTCAAACTCAAACATATTCGAATTAGAAAAGATCGTACAACGATACCTTCGTCCATGTTGATATCAAGAACCTGTGCTCCATTCTCAACCTGGAGCTTAGCTATAGCCAGGGCTTCATCATACTTTCCTTCCTAAGTATAACACATTGTTAATATACTGCATTAAAAACTATCCATGTGTCAAATTTTATAAAAACATCACAACTGTGACACATTATCAGAGGCGGCTTATGAGGGAGGAGCTGGAAAAGGAGGGTACTGCCCCCCCCCCCTTCTTCCGCAAAACTGGAGGACGCCCCTCCCCCGATTATGATATAGTGTGCAACTGAGACGAAAGAACAGCTTCTACATTCGTAAATTGTATTTTTAAAGATGGATTTAAAATTATTTTCCGAGGGGCGCCCAATTAACTTTTTCAGTCCTAGTTAAATTATTTTTGAAAGTGGAACAAATTTATTCCCCCCCCCCTCCCCTCTTATACTAAGGAGAAGGTAAAATTAATGCGACATCGAAGGTACGACTTTATGACCACGTAGCTCCTCTAGTTTTGTTTTTAGCACAATTTAAGCACATTTTAAGCACATTTTTCCGGTTACATATATTATCAAATGTTTTTGTTCTTCTGGATAGCTCTTTAAAAGAAAAACATATAATTTCAGGAAAGGAATTTTTTGAAGTAAGGTGGGGGGGGGATGGCAAATTTAGGCACGCTTCGCACGCAATTTTCTTCACCTCCAACCCTGGAAAATCATAATCCGCTAATACACATTAAAGAAAAAACATTTTACCTTGATCAATCTACAGAATAGTCTTGAACCAGCAACATTACAACGCTCTCCAATATTAACAAAGTTAGAGAGACGACCAACTTTCAAGGGTTCAAGACCAGCCAACAACATGTGATCAGCTGAACAAATATTAGCTTGGTCCTGGGATCTACGGATCCACCCTCTCTCCCGCAAAATACAGGGTTAATCATTTAGTCCCTAATTGGTGGCTTATTTAATGAATTGGATACGACAAAAGTACATGTTACGTTGCAGCGAAGCGTGAATATGAAGAGTGAGATTGTATAAATTCATTCATATATTTTGGATTTAATCATTTCTAATCCAAGCACAACAGTTATAGAACAGGGTAGGTGGCCAGGAGGGGGCCTTGAAATAATCATTACAGGGACTGTAAAGTGACCTTCTGAAAAGGGTCACTTGAAATTACGGTTACGGTACTTTTCAGAACATATTTTGAGCTGGGCTAAAATGACTATCTGCTAAAACTACGAATTTGTTCAATTAATTTTGTTTCAAATCATATCTCCACCTGAAATAGATTTAGCTGGAATCCTTGGTTTGATGCCTTTAACTGCTTCCGCAACAGCTCTAAAAATACATTGGAAAATAAAATAAAAATTATAGATAGATAGAAAGATATTTCGGCTAACATCACAATAAATACATTTTTAATTTTATAATTTATAACTAAACAGTCACTAGCCAGGGCTACAGCCTAACCGTTTCTGGTTGTTTTGATTGGCTGGCCCTCCAAAATTTTATACTAACTAATACATTACACAAAGCACAAAGTAATTTAAAAAAGGAAATAAAGAAGGAAGGAAAGGAGAAACCCGAGAACTAAAAATCTAATTTTTGGCGAAAATATGTTACAGTGGTTTACAGTATTTACAAATTACAAATTACATGAGTAGCAGTTCCTGTTTTTACATTCAAATTCCTTAAATCTAGAAGCCAGATATATTTTCATATCCGTTTAGAAAGTACTGAAAATGAACATGTAATATCCATTGGAACACTTTTTTAAATTCTCGGAAAAAATATGTTGTAAAAGGTTTAAGATACTTAATTCTTACTAATTCCAATTTAAAACTTTGTGTCCTTTTAGGTTCTACAAATGAAGACAAAGGAAGTTTTTCTTTTAATAGTAGAAGCAGTATGTTTGTGGATATCAGTTAATTTAAGCATTCCATTTCCAAAAACAAAGGATCTGTATGCTGTGACCAAAGCTAGATTAAATTAATTTAACTAAATTAAAGAAACCCAATGCAATTCGCCTTGATTAGTCCAGAGTGGCCGTGAGTGCTACAATGTCAAAAAGAGTTTTTTTGACACCCTGCTTAAGAAATAATATTCTAGTCAAATACCTGATGTAAGAAATAATATTCTAGTCAAATACCTGATATGATCTGGAGTTGTTCCACAACAACCTCCAACAACATTAACGAATCCATCTTTAGCAAAGGATAACATATTAGAACCAGTTTCAGCTGGCAGTTCGTCGTAACCACCTTAATCAGGGATAACATATTAAAACCAGTTTCAGCCGGCAGCTCGTCGTAACCACCTTAATCAGGGATAATCAAAATTGATGGAGGATGAAATAAGAAGAAAATGGAGATCGAGAAAAATAGAAATGTCAAAATATTTGCAGCTGCTATCATATAATTATTTAAATAATTTTGTTAAAATTTAAATTTTAACATAAATTACTGTCGAGTAGGAAGACGGCATTAAAACAATACTGAAGTGTAATTGATGTTGTTTTATAGCATTTACAATTTTAACTTATTAAACCACCATTAATTAAAATACATTGCGCAACTGTAGTTTCTCATATTTATAGTCCTCACGTGTGTTTAAAAGTCGTCTTCCTAATTCAGAGTTTTCTGGTAATCACTGCAGCGTTAATAAAATTAATGAAGCAAAAAATTATCAAAACATATTCAGCTTGGGCCTGGTTTAATATTATAAAAGTTCAAAAAAAAACCAAAACGTGTACTTTTCCAAAAAACTAGAATTTTTGACGGTTTTTTGGCCTAACTAATCCAATATTTTTTCCAAAAATTTTAATGTATTAAATCTTAATGGACAATTACTAAGAAAATGATGTATGAGATGATAAATTCAAGAAATATTTTTTTGATGAACGTCAACTCTATGTGAAAAGTATATCAGACGGTAAAAGCTTGGTCCGATCTCAATTTTTTTTATTTCCTGAATTTGTTTGACTAAAATTCACTTCATTCCGGTCTGCATCATACAAATATTTCAAGTTGGTATTTTTTTGGGGTACCCTAATGCACATTTTTGGGATACCCTAATGCACATTTTTGGCGTACCCTTATGCACATTTTTGGGATACCCTAATGCACATTTTTAGGGTACCCTAATGCACATTTTTGGGGTACCCTAATGCACATTTTTGGGGTACCCTAATGCACATTTTTAGGGTACCCTAATGCACATTTTTGGGGTACCCTAATGCACATTTTTACTTGGTACTTTGTCTATAAAAGTTTGATGGTTTAAACTATATTATTATGAAAAGAATAAAATACAATAAATGAAACCTCACATGAAACTAAATCTCAGAAAACGAAAATATTTGTAAGAATATGTTTTTCTCTTGCATCATAAATCGCCGTAAAGGAACCAAACCACTCGAGAAAATGCAATACATAGTTCGCAATGTAGGCCTAGAATTTAGCTTTTAAAATGCGAAATTTAGCAATATTTTTTCGCATTTCGTCACCTTTTCGTGAAAATTCGTATTTTTTTCGCGAAGATGAATTTTGCGAAAAGAAAGAGGACAATGCAGAATTTCGAGAGAAATAAAATATGTCGCAATTTAGTCTAAAAAATGCTAAAATTTTCGTGAAATTTTGCATTTTATCTCTTTCGCTTTATGAAAAATGCGAAACTTTTCGCATTTTATCTACGAAGAAATGCGAAGAAATGCGAAATTTTCGGCGAAAAAAAACGATTTTTTATTTAGCTAGAGACAGATATATTGTAAGATGTTTTACCAAAGGTATTTGGAAGTCCTGCATTAGGGTAACAGATCACATAGGCGTCCGTAGCCTTACCTATTTATATGTCTTTTTTTATACACTAAGTGTTAATAGAATATATATTTGGCATAATTTTTTTTAAATTCAATATTACATTTTAATCAAGACAAATGACTAATATTATTTTTTTTATCAATGTATACATTTTAAAGATCAGAGCGTGATCTTCAATGTTAAAGAAAAGATCAGAGCGTGATAAAATCTACAACTTAAAGGGACTAAAAGCGTAATTTCAAGTGACCCTCCATGCAAATACGGCATGGCCAGATTCACAACAGTACCCTTAAATTTTTATCAGATTATTAATGTGGAAGATATTGTCATTTTTCTAAATATAAGTGTTTTCATTCTGAAAACTATTATTTATTAGATATTTACCTGCGCAAATCACAATTTAAAATTAATAGTTTTCAAAATCTTTTACCTTAAAATCTAATTCATGCTTGAATAGATATTTGAAATTATGCTTACAGTCCTTTTAAGTTGTAGATTTTTTTCCAAATAATTTTTATAAAAAGTAAAAATATTTTTGTTAAGAAAACAATCCTATTGCTTCTATAAATGGTCGCATTTCGTTTGCCCCCAGAGCACAGTTCAGTCCAATGCTGAAAATAAAGAAAAATCATTACTTTCTGAAAATGCGCAGAAAAAATTGTAATTATGGTTTATTTCATATTATTACGGCTGTTCACATTTTAGAATTACGAAAACCTAGATTAGATGAAAACTTAGTTATATTGTGATTGATTGATTGATAGACGTTTTTCAATCAATCATTATATAACTAAGTTTTCATCTATAATTACCACATTGGTTTAGCGTGAGAAACGGAGATGATAAAAGCTTCCCCAGTTTGTCCTGATAATGTCCGTCCACTCCTAAAAATAAAAATAATTTTAGATTTGACCATTTTTGGTTTCCAGAACTTGAAATTTTTAAATAACGAAGTTTAGGAGCTTGACCACTCACCAGTGAACAGTCCTAATCTAATTCCTATTCTAACATCATTTTACCCGACCTCGGTCTGCTCATTGGTGAATTTTTAAGAGGTCAATGTAATAAAGCTTGACGCACATATTTATAGCTATTGCTGGCCAAAAGGCTGAAATAAATGCGCTGAATTTTTTTAGGGAATTCTTGAATACCTTAGGGGTAACAAAGGATAAAAAAATTTGATTTTTATAGATTCGGGGTTTTAAAGTGTTTTTAAAATTCAACGGTCAACGCAGGAAACCCTTTTCTTAATTTTATGCTCGATAAGTTTTTTTTTAACTTTATACAACTATGGTCATATATATCCATTAAAATGATTGTTAAAATCGTTTTAAAAATAGCTCTTGTTAATATCTTTTGTAAGAGAACCAAATTTGCTTAATGTAATAAAAACAAACTTATAGAAAATCAGATTTTGTTGTGCGTCAAATATCTCAGATTATTTTAGGCACATTTAAAGCCCAAAAAACTTGAATTTGTCAAAAACGGGCCTTAAAGCGATGTCCTTCCCTACACTACAGGCTCGATTAGATTGATATTTTCAATTCTAAGTTATTACCTGTCCACAATGGTGCCGGATACAAAGATAGGAACAGACTAACGCAGATCAATTAATATTGTTTTAAATAGGAAGTTGGAAAATGTACTTTCCCAAAGGAATTTCCCCAAGTGGCAACTTCCCAAGGGTATTTTCCCAAATGGCGACTTTCCAAACGTGCAATTTTCCAAGTCTTTCCTAGACTCAGCGCTTGGCCCATAGGATATTCTAGTCGCAACGCTCGGCCCCCCCTAGCCCATCCAAGCCGCAGCGTTTGGCCCTCATTGCAGCCTGTGGCGCCTCAAAAGGCCTTACCTAACCTTTGGTAAGTTGCCACTTGGGAAATTGGCACTTGGGAAATTGGCACTTGGGACTTCCCAACGACTTAAATTTCATACAATTCGTGATTAAGTTTTTTTAATTCTTAAAAACTTCTATTATTACGAAACAATATATTTATGATTCCTGGTATTCAGTGTCAAACAGCTTCTGGATCGCAAATAGGGCAGCCTGGAGGAAGAAAAGAAAGATTAAATGAAAACCATTACAAAGAAAAGGATAAAAAAATGGCTAAAATAATTCCCTTTTATAAAACCCAAAATAAATTTATCTTACCCAGCATGTTGTCAATACTTGTCAATACTCAATAATTACTCACAGTCAAATATTTATTCATAAAAATATTTAGAAAAACTGTATTTAAAGTAGATTTCTAAGGTTTTATCGCTTCTGTGGATCCCCCCAAAAAAATTACAATAACTAAATAACTTTTTAAGTTTTCTGACAGATGAATATGAGCTTTATGATTAAGAAAGTGTTCCGTATGAATATCTACTTACTAGTATTTCTATGGGAAAAAAATTACTCAAAATGATGAAGGAAATTTTCACTGTAAATTTGGATTATTCTGGTTTTCTGAATTATATTTGAATGGTATGGTATGGATGGTAGACTTAAAATCCCAAAATTTGAAAATAACTATTAGTATGTATAGCAAAAGCCTTACTCCGACAGTATTCTCAATGTGTATCGTACAGATACAACTCGCTCTAGAAACGAACCTTCTACATTAAAACTTCAATCTGTATCAATCCGGATACAACGCTATATGTATTGTTAGATGTGTATCGTACAGATACAACTCGCTCTAGAAATGAACCTTCTACAATACTTCAGTCTGTATCAATCCGGATACAACGCTATATGTGTTCTTAAATGTGTATTGTACAGATACAAGTCGCTTTCGAACCTCACCTTGTCCGACCAATAATACTTCAGTCTGTATCAATCCAGATACAACGCAATTCTTTTAGTCTGTATCTGTCTTTCAAGAAACAACTAGAGCTGACCCTCTGCTTCTCACACGAAAATCAATACGTGTCTTCTGTCTAAACGTAATGAAGCAACAATCTATATTTTCTGTGTATTATAGTACATGCTAAATTAATGAACGTAATTAAACGAAACGGTAGTTCTTGATATACGATATGGACCGATAGGTTTTCTCAGAAGGTAACGAACGTTATTAGGGTATACAATTATTGTTTACACACAGTGTAAACTGTACAGGTATAGGCCAGGTTTACAAATATAGGGTTTCTACAAATATTTATTACAAGTATTTTAAAATTAGTGAACAGCTTGTTCCTTAAAGGGAAAAACTAAAATATTTGACCTTTAAAGTGAGGCAATGAACATAAAGACAAAAATTTCACAGCATTGCTGCAAATCGTTCAATGGGACTAAAACGGGCTTTCATCTTTCCGCTGCATATTTTCAGAGTTTAAAATTGCGCCTTAAAGGCATTGTATAATGTATAAGCATATTTTTAGTGACCCTTCATGCGGAGATGGCAATGCCCGATTGACAGCAGTACACTTGAAACCTTTATCTGTTCAAACTTCAAAAATATGGAAGACACAATTGTCTTTCTGACTCGAAAAGTGTTTATTTCTGTGAGTTTCTCCATTGTTTTTTTAACAGTAAATGCACAAGTCACCACAAATGAGAAGAGGTTAAGACAAAAACATTGATATCTAATTCATACTTGATCAGACAAAAATTAAAGGATACCGTGGAAAATCGAACATGGTAAGGTTGGCAAGGAGGTTCACTTGTAATAACGCTTACAGTCCCTTTAATTGTTTAAATCACCTTGGCATTAGCTGTATCAAATACAGTTTCTACCAGCAGAAGATCAACTCCTCCATCAAGAAGAGCTCGAGCCTGCTCACCATAAGCTTCAACTAGTTCATCAAAACCTGAAAAGATCATCTTACACTGATAACTAATTAAGTCTTAAATAGGAAAACGACTTTAAATAGTTAAATAGGAATGAAACACAGCAATTGTGCAATTGTGCAGTGTAAACAGACCCATTTCACTTATCTGTGACTTATTAAGTAGTAAAACTATTTACTTTGTAACAAAATCAAATACACTTTAGTATTGGTTTAAAAAATAAAACTTTTTAAAAGAACTTCTCTCTCAAAGCCTGATTATAGAGTTGTATTACATATATACATGTTTTATTAAATCCTCCAGTAAAATCTTCAACAACATGTTTAGTCTAAATATACAAATAGACGGAATAAGCGGAGAAACTTAAGCTGTTAAAGGGACTGTAAAGGAAAAATTAAAGGGGGTATTGGCTGAAAGCTAATCTTTTTAGCTCTTGATTGCGACCCATTAAAGTTCTATCTGATGTTCCTGTCTCGAGAAATTGATGTAAAAATGTGTCAAATTCATACAAAGATTCATATATATATATATATATATACAATTTTGTATAGAAATAATAGATTTAAACAGATCATATTCAGCAAATACGCAACTAATGGCAATCTGAAAACGAAAATATCTCAGAGCAACCTAAAACTTAGGTTTTCTCCAATTATGATTTTTTAATTTTTATTTTTATTTTTTAAAATAGATATAATTGATAATATTATTTTGATTCCGTATTATGTTAGAACTCCCAACAGTGCAGTATAGTGGTCACATGTCGGTCTGTATCACGTGACCAGTATACTGCACTCTCATTGGTTGGAGTTCTGGTGACGTTATATAAACTTACAAATAATATATCAATAATATACATTAAAAATAAATAAGAAAATTATAAAATTATATATAGAGCAAACCAAAGTAAGAATTAGCTTCCTCCGGGATGTCTTCGTTTTCAGATTCGTTTTGGATTAGCTAAATATGATCTGTTTAATTATACTATTTCTGTACAAAATAGTATATATATGAATTATCGTATAAATTTGACACAGTTTTATATCAATTTCTCGAGACAGAAACATCAGATAGAACTTTCTTGTGTCGCGATCAACTAAAGTGATTAGCTTTAGCCTATACCCCCATACATCTTTCCTTTACAGTCCCTTTAATCTTTCCAAAACTAAATTTATTCGTCTAGGGAAACAAATATGATGAACACTACAAATTAAAACATAGGTACGTAACTATCAGATAGAAAGGTTTTAAAGAAAAGTATTTTCTTTTTTTGTAGGGGTTACTTTCTAAAATGGGATTTTTGATAAGAACTATATTAAAATTTAATCCTTCATGTTTATCAGTATAACCGCCTGTATTATTTTGTTTAGCTATATTGCATGTTTTATATCTTACACATCTGTTGAACACTGAACTAAACACATCTCAGATAAAAACAATTTAACTTTTAAAATAACTAATCTCTCTCTTCATAATCTAATAATCTAATCCTATATATTTTTACAACCAATAAACCTCCATATATCAAATTGAAATATAAAAGGTCCATCTCATCAAGTTATGAAGATTATCTGAAAAAAAAAGAGTTTGAGGCAAGTTTATAAAAAGAAAGTACGTTCAGTTCGCTTTGAATTTACCATATGAATAGTAAAGTTTTATTTATACCAATACCATATGGTCGGCGATATACCAAATAAACACAACTTTTCTAAAATTTTTAACAAGTTTTTTGTATTACTAGTTTACAAATAAACAAAGTGCGAGAAAATCAAATTTAACCAGTTACATAAAAAATTTAAAAATTTTTGTTCTTCTGAATAGCTAGCTCTTCAATAAGATGAGTTATGATCAAAACATTTCAATATTTACTTCAGTTTAACTTGTACTAAGTACTCACTGATATTCCTGAACTCTGGTTTCTCCACACTTGGAGAGATAGAGAGGGTTCTATTCGTTGGACCCATTGCGCCAGCAACATACTTCGTGCAACCAGTCTCTCTACTATTGCACCAGCTAAATACTTCATGTAACCAGTCTCTCTACAAGTACTACTTTATTAAACACCCTTCTACATACTTTGTGACATTAACCAACAAAAAATATCAGAAATTCTGAGACAGGGAAGTATATTTTTTAGAATAAAAAATTGGCCATCAAAATGCTACTTTTTTCAATCCTTTTGATACTTTTTATCCAAAAATTTATTTTTTTCCCCAATAAATTTCTTTTATTTTCCACATGAAATCAGCGAATTGAACCCTAAAATACAGTTTTCAAATCTTGGAAAGTTTACAAAGTAAATAAAGCTTTTATTTTACTAAAATAATATTAATTAAAAAACCTTTTTTAGTTAAACACCCCCCGAATCATCTTTAAAATCAAATACAAAGTCTATAACATATTCCTGTAAGCCTCCTCCGCCGCCTTCTTTGCTAGTTTAGCACCTTAGAATCAATAACAATATCTTAATCGGCAAAAAGAATTAAAGTCAGGTACGTTATTTAAAAACGTATCAAGCTCAGTTTAATCCAGTGCTTCGGAGTCATCAAAAGAATTTAAAATATGCCGTCTTGACAATATTTTTATGGGTTTTATACTATTATATCATAAATTTCAATAATTGTAAAAATAAATAAATAGCCATGAATATGGGGGAAGAGTTTTAAAGAGCTTCATATATTTATTCAATTAAAATAAATATTTGCAGCATTCAATTATTAGTAAGTTAAAAATAAAACATTTTATAAAATCTTTACATGTCTCTGGAAGCTACTGGGTTAACTGTATATATAAAAAACTTTTAATAAAAAATATAATAATGATTTCCTTGATAATTGATCTGATATACTAAATGTTCCAGAGCATAGTCTGCCTGGGCAACAGTAGTTCCTGAAAATGAAAATAGATATAAAAACGTCTGTCAGCCATTTACAATGTAAGCGCACCAAAATATTTTTTGGGTTAAATTCCTAGCTACGGGCCTACCATCCCTCCCCTTTAAATTCCTAGCTACGGGCCTACCACCCTCCACTGTAACACAAATCAGAGAAACAAGTTTAAGGAGGAAGTTTGTAAAGAAGGAAAGGAAATGCAGGAAAAGAATGAGAAGTAAGTGAGAAATGGTAAATAATGATCCAACTAATTAAGAAACTAAACAAATTCAAATCATCTTCGCCCGGTAACGTCTTTGCCTATGCTCTAACCAGGGATAGATATGAAAATCAAACTAAAAAAAAATTTAAAAAATTAAAATTAAATATTTAAAAAAGATAGAATGTTTGAAATAAGAAAAAATTAATAAATAAAGTAGAGCATACTTTCAAGGAATTTAAGGAAAACAAGAAAATCACAACTAAATGCATTTGAAAGGCAGATTTAATAAAAAAAATTCTTAACAGAGTTTCTTTGAAACAAATCACTTTCTACCTATTCTCGAAAAACAAACGTTTTAAGACGAGTTTGAAAATCTGTTCATTTTTGAAGTCCTCTTTCCCTATTGTTGTTATCTGTATAAATAGCTCGAACTTGACACTGTAAACATCAGTTCAACCTGAACTTCCAACCAAGCATCTCCTACCAATCCTTCTTCGGTAAAAATCTATGCGATATTACTGGTACGACTTTGTGACCTCGTAACGCCTCCAGTTTTGTTTTTAAGCACAAGTATAAGATAAGTAAAGTTATCAGGTTACAAATCAGAAATTCAAAACATTTCCTTTCTCACTAGCTCTCCAATAAGAGAAGTTATTATATAGTCATTCTTGCAATTTATTTTAGTTTGAGGTGGAACTGAAACCATGCCAGCTCTACATCTACTCATTCTACTTGGAGTTCTAGGAAACATGATAATCTTAGGATACTTATTTTAATTAATATTTGCATATAAAATACTGCCTTTTTTAACCACGCAGCTTTGCTTTGTTTACCCTGTTTACGCTTTACAGTCTTCAAAATAAAATAAGCACATTATTCTTGTATCGCCTGTTATTGTCATTTCCCAATTTTTTTCTAATTTCAAAGCTTCGTATCCTTATTATCATCTCTTACAGTTCCCGCAATTCTAAGTGACGGATATGGTGGACATGGGGGAGGTGGTGGTGGCGGAGGATATGGCGGACACGGCGGAAGCGTTGGCTCTGGTACTGCCTGCATTGTGAAAGGATCTTACTGCCAGTGCCACTACTGTAAGTGCGACGAAGGAAAGATCCATTGTTCCGGATATGGGCATGGAGGGGGAGGAAAAGGAGGATATGGAAAGAACTACTGTTATGGAAGTATGGAGGGAGAATACTGCCATTGTGATTATTGTAAATGTAAGAATGGGTTTGGACAGGACAGCTATGGAAAGCAATGTGGAGGAGGTGGAGGTGGGGGTGGATACCATAAGTAAACATTTATGTACACTGCAACTCACCTGAAAGAATAATGCACAATTTTGTTATTTGTTATATTAGCTTTATTATTAAATGCCGGATTATCTTTTCATGTCTTTGTTTCTGTTTTTACTTGTCTAAATATATCTAAGTTTTAAAATAAATTATTTTATCAAGAAAAGATCTAAAGAACAGAATTTAATGTTAAATAATAGCATCTCTTAATGCTCATGGGATTACAGTTGAACCAGAAAACGTTGAAGTGAGAAGACAACTTGTACACTAAGGTTTTGATTAAAAATAGTCCAATGACCATTAAACAAAGCAATTGTGCAGTGCACACAGACCCATTTCACTTAATAAAGAAAAGTAATAATTAAATTACTAGTAATATTGTCTGCTTTGTATCACCATCCAACACTGTCGTCTTTTTATTACTCTAAGAGTTTTCTGGTTCTCACTATACTGAATTACATACTGAAAAGATTAAAAGGGATAATATTACTACTTTATTCTAACCCTTCGTTGCACAGGGTACTCATAGTTACTCCTGCAGTTTACCCGCACATGGTCTTATATTTCGATTTTAGCTATTTTTCCCTATACAAGTGGACCCACTCAACTTAAAATCTCAAAACAAAGCTGAGAACATTCCCGTGGTTCTCCCGAATTCTCAAATCAAAATTTGAGACATATCTGTCAAGGGGTTACTGAGTTATGATCAGACAAACAAACAGACAAATACAGAGATTGCAACTTTACAAATATATAGACGATGTAAAGCTATTATAAACTAACCTGAGAAAGTGTTAGTTTCACAAATGTCAGCTCCAGCCAAAAAATATTTCTAAAAAAGAAATCTATTTTAAATATTTTCTAAAAAATTGCATATTTTACAAGAGGAACAAGAAAAAGCATGAATAACAAAGAAACTAATTTAAGGGAATGTAAGCGTAATTTCGAGTAAGCCTCAATGCAAGCAGACAATGCAATGATTTACAACCGTATCCTATAAAAGCTTTGTCTGATCAAGTATGAATTAATTTTTTTGCGGTTTCTCTGCAAAAAAAGTGGAATATTTATTGCTAATAAGAAGCAGTTGAGATATTCAAAGAAAATTTAACTTTTTTCGAGTTAGAAACGACGGTATTTTCCACATTTTTCAACAGATTAAGGTTTCAAGGGTACCGTTGTACATTAGGCATTCCCATCTTTGAATTAGTGAAGAATTCACCTTATGAATATTGTAGACAATATCCGGTCTGAAAAAAACATACAACTATTTTTTTAATTGTCATAAAGAAATCTTTCTATTTAATAAAGCTTTTCGCTCATATATATAGCTGGCCAACAGGTTGGACCAAATTGGCTGAAATTTGTATAGCGAACCCATGGATACCTTAGGGGTAATATAGTCAGAACTCAGTTGAATAAATATTATCTAATCTGTGCTTGAATATTTTTCATTAAGAAATATAGCCATCTTTACCTGGTAATTGACAAGAGATCGTTATTACCCTTCAGTGGCTTAGAATGATTTTGTAAATTTGCATCCCTGAAATTATCATTTAAAGGGACTGTGAGTGTAATTCTTCGTGAACCTCAATATAAAGATGGCAATGCACGATTCACAGCGGTATCTTTATACTAGCTTTGTCTGATCTTTTATGAATTCGATATCAATGTTAATCATTTAGAAAACTGATTATTTTCAGTTGTAGCTTCTCTACAAAATTGTGACTTACGCATTTTTACCAAAGGAAAAATTTTGGAACTATCATAACTAAGCACTTTTACACTTAGAACAACAACAACATCTCCCAAATTATTTATCAGATAAAGGTTGTGAATCGGGCATTGCCGTCTTAAAATATAGGGTCACTTGAAAGTACGCTTACAGTCCCTTTAAAGTTAAAGTTAAAATTTCAAGTAATATTCATTAAGTGCATTCAAGATATACAAGAGGAGATTAATTTATCCACAACAGAAAAGCAGGATCTTAAGGAATCCAATTGCAACTAAAATTTTTAAATAATTTTGCTGATCATAATATGCTTATAGCCCCAATAGAGTCGTGTACAGTCCCCCCCCACACACTTTACACATGCATGTATATTCTGTGGAGACCATCAAAGGGAGTTGCCATTCTATGTTGCAACTGCCCAAATCAAACTAAGAAGGACCCAGGGGCGTTCAGGGATTCAGGAATTTGTCCAGGGGGCTGAGCCCCCATTGCCCCCCCCCCCTTAATACGAGTCTGGAAGGAACCCTGGTTTTCATTGTACCTGAAATCCTCCTCCTCAAGTCCTTCTCTCTGAACCATGGTTCCCATCGCACCGTCTATCAGTACGATCCTTTCCTTCAGAACATTTTCCAAGTTCCAACCCTGCTCTAAACATAATTTCAACATTATACTGTAATATTTAGGAATTGCGGGTGGTATTTACAAAACATAGATTCTGTACGGTCACCTCTGAAGTCTCATCCTTTGTGGGTAACCCTGTGATTGCTTAGCATACAACAAATAGATTATCAAGTACAATAAGTGACAACAGAGAAATTGATCAATTATGCATTGACGTCACAAGAAAAACTAAATTTTCAGACATTGGTTGACATGTTTTCCAAGATTAAATAAAAAAATGTAAAAATAGAAAATAAAGAACACATATAATTTCACTTTGTTGACTGTCAAATAAGCACTTTATTCTAAAATGTTCACTATTATTAATCAATTTTTTGGACACATAATCTAAGTTGACACTTGTGGTGACGTAAGAATACAACTGTACTGAGAGTTGTACAAATTCTACGTTACAATTTATTGTACTATTTGACATATAATAGAGTTGCCTGCTTTATGAATGGTTCTGATAAAAAGTTGTTTTTCCTTTCATTAAACTAGCTTCAAATAGCGTAGAACATGCATGATGGAGTTTAAGCAAACATTTCCATGTTCCGATTCCGGTATCACATTTTTTATAACTCGTTGATATACATCATACTTAAAGCTACTGTTATAGTATACAAATCGTTGTTTTTTTTATGAACGCATTAATTGGGGGGTGGGGGGGGGGAATTTTGACATTTATTCTTTTAGGGGCTGAACAATGCAATTGCCCCTACAAAAAGTAACTTCTATTTACGTCAAGATTTTAACTTGAATAAATTTATTTGATTGTTTATCTCGCCTTTATCTCTGTGTTTATTCGCTACTCGTCTTTTTTTAATGCTTCCCTTCGCCCCCCCCCCCCTCCTTCCAGCATTCGGACCTACCCTCCTACACTACCTACCTACCCTACAGCTGCCCTACCCTACCCTACCCTACTCGACTCTCATTTTAACTTACGTGAAGTTGGTTTCAGCTTTGGGTCACCTAGGGTGAGGGAAGAAGAAGGAGCCATTTTTCTGAAAATGAATAAATTGTACAACATACATCAGTACAATAAAGACGACTGTTGATTTTGATTTTGTTTTTTATCAGGCTTTTAAAGTTTAAATATATAAAACCCTATTTCACGGAAATATACGTTATTTAGTTCATTGACCATAGTTGCAGTCAACTTATTTACCTGCACCTTGTAAAACCTAAATATATAGACAATTCAATACAGACTCTTGTTGTTTACGGATGTATGCCTAGATAGGTAGAGAGGATAGAGTTTGTGATAGATTGAAACGGCATGATTTACATAAATATGGAAACAAATATAGAAGCTAACAATCAAACAAACAACAAACATAAAAATGTCTTTTTTGTACTATTAATATAATCGCCGACCACTATATGTAAAGATGTATGTCTATATATTGAAACATAAAATTTAAACATTAATATTCTTATAACAAAATCAGTGAATGTTGATCATATGTCAAATTTAAAATTGATTATTTACTGATTCTAGTCTGGAGATATAAATATGTATATAAACATTACGTACAGAATTACTTAAGTGATCAAAGTAAAAGTTGTTCGTAAGAGTACGACTGTATAAGACACGTTTTGTATTATATATAACTGCAGGTTAACCCCTCACAGCCGACAACAGAGAACTGAGTTGAAGATATATATATATATTCAACAGAGTACAGAGTAAAAATATATACATCCAGAAACTGGTTTAAATCTCAAGTTCTCAACCCAGACCTTTCTCCAGTATTCACAGATTGTGTAATATCACACTTTTAACGCATGCACAACGAGGGGGGGAGTCCAGATGTTCCTCAACGATTAATCACCGCCACCCAAATGTGTTTTGCGGCAAGCGCGCTCCTCAATTGGTAATCACCACCACCTCAATTGGTAATCATCGTAAAAAATTGTTTTCTGAGATTTGAAATTAATGCAGTTTTAACACAATTTTTGATATCTATTGGGGTTTCATGGCATCTGTTTTGACTTGAAACTAAATTTTCAAATTGTTTACAGATTTTTTTGGTCAACAAAAACCATGAGAATCAAGTCACAGTTCATTTTAGCCGAATCTTAGATCCAATTCGCCCATTTAATGACTGCATTTCATGATTGGCGTTAAGATACTGCCTGTTTTCTAAAAAATTATCTCATCCCACGCAAAGTAATATCCATCTCCAATTTAAAAGATATTTTTAAAAAACCTTTTCAGTATTAAGGTTTTTGTATTCGCCTACTTGAGTTCAACATCTACAACAAAACTAATTATATGCATAAAAAGTACTTAAAATTTGGAAAAATTAGTCTCATCCCACGTCCTACTGAAAATGAAATATTTAGTCCACTAATAATGGGTTAAAGTTTCCTCTCTATATAAGGAGTTTAAAACAATAACATTCATGAGGAAAAAGCCGCAAATATTCTTAAGCGAAACTTGAAACTAAAATAAAGTAATATATTTCTAGCGCTTATTATGGCATATTTATAGATTTATTTTCGAAACAGTAAAGAAAGCTTTAACTTAATATTGTACACCATAGGGCCATTGACAGAGGTCAGTATGGTCTTATTTCTAAGAAATAACTGATTTAATGTTACGCTTATTTTGGCTGATTACCAGATGGTGGATATTACCAATTGAGGAGCACGCTAGCCGCAAAACACATTTGGGTGGCGGTGATTAATCGTTGAGGAATTCTGGACGGTAATGTTACATCGTCTATACACAACATCCCCCCTACTGAACTTCTGACCTACTAACTTTCCGACCTACTGCAATATCGGACCTACGCCAGCTGTTTATTTTAGTATTATTTGAGGGTTAGGTTAGGTTAAGACAATTTCTGGGCCGAGCGCTGCGGCTAGGACAGGCTAGGGGGCCGAGCGCTGCGGCCACAATTCCATGTAGCAGCTGTAATACCACGTGCTAGTAGGTCGGATGTGTAGTATAGCGGATTTGGCGTAGGTCAGAAGTGGAGTATGGCGGATATGTGTAGGTCGAAAAATACACCACCATTCTGGACTCCCCCCCCCCACGCACAACACACAACACGACGGAGGGGGGACGGCCGTGAACTCCTTATTTTGTATTTCCTATCCAACATAGATCTTGTGTAACAAAAAATTTCCGTCTCCACAGGCCAAAGGCCAAGGCATTGTGAAACTTCAAAGTCGAGGCTGTAAAAAAGTTTCAGTGTTGTCTTTATCTCATCAGGCATAGATCTATTATATTTCAATCATATGCATTCGACTAGAATAGTCAACATTTCAAATATAAAAGTTTATTACCACACAAGGATTCAGACATCTATAAAACTATGCATTAATTTTCAAATTTTTAATATCTGTTTAATTAATTTTTTCCCCTCAATTTGAAGATTTTGTAACAATAAGTAACCAATTCTCAGAGTAGCATAATCATAATTTATTTGTATGTACATTTTTGAATAAACCTTCAGTTGTTTGATTCTTTGCTTTTTTGGTAACTTTGCAATAAAATGTTTTGCGTAAAAATTTATGTTTTGCGCAATACTTCCGGTTTTGCGCAAATTATGCCCTAAAATGTGCAACATTTATTGCGCTTCTACCTACTCCAATGTGCACAACTGGCTCCAATGTACACAACCGGCTTCAATGTACACAACTGGCTCCAATGTACACGTTTAACTAAATCTACACAAATTGAAAATATGTCAAATTCTGAGGCTGAGACAGGGTTGAGGGTGGGCAAGAACTGCCCCTCTTATAATTAATTTTACTTTCTCTAAAGCACGGTGTCCACAGTGTGCAGGCAGAGTCTAGGGTTTAACCGGCGCGGCTGCAACGACTTTGTAACAATTTGACACATGGCAGTTTTAATTTTTATTACTGAGAAAACTGTAGAATAGGAAGACGACATTAAAGTGGTACTGAAGTGCGTTCCAGGTTGTTAAAAAGCAAATAGTTTAACTAGCAAGTTAGTATAACATTTATTAAGTTACAGTGGTCTGTTTATACTGTATAAAGTCTGTGTCTCATGTTCATTGGACAATTTAAAGACATCTTGAGTCTAGAAGCTGACTTCTATTCCAGAGATTTCTGGTTCTTACTGTACAACCATTTTATAATGTTGATTTATTCAACGGTTTGCTTGAAAACAAAAACAAAACAGTAGTCTGCGTTTATATCTAACCAACACAGACATAATTTTATTTAAAATGCTTTAATCCCTGACAATCGTTTTTCAAACTGCAAGTTTACATGTAAACAAGGAGAAGCTGTTAATTGGCAATTCTTTTGTTTGCATGTATATTTGTCTTTGCTAATAACTACCTAAACATTTAGTATTCTACATTCTGATGTCGAATATCAAAGCTGCAGATTTCTTAACCATCTTAACCATTAGAAATTTAGTGGGTTTAAATGTTTCCTTGGAAATCCAACCAGTTTAAAGTATACAAGATATACAGGTTTACCCACAAAGGATGAGACTGTAAAGACGACCCAAAACTCTAAAATATGAAGATTTGAAGCTTGATTTTTAGTTTCTGCATTTAATCGAGTAATTTGATGGTTCACTATATGAATAAGCACAGAAATAAGCCAGTTCTGGCCTACAAGGAATCCTGAATGCCTGAAAACGGACTAAAATAATTCCGTTCAATCGTCTCTGAAGTCTCAACCTTTGTGGGTAACCCTGTATCACTAAACCTTAATTGAGTTTATAGTTACTTTAGTCGATAAAGTTACTTAATCACCCTGTTGTAGGGTGATTAAGTAACTTTTTCACCCTACAATGAGACAAATGAGGTATGAAATTTAAAATTTTAGTGGCAAGGTGAAAAAGTTGCTAGTTGTATAATTACTCTATCACTCTGTGATAAATTCCATCAAAATTGAATAATAACTATTAATTACTACTTAACCGGGAGATTAAGGGAGGATAATTAAATTGAGGGGAAAACCACTTAGCCGAGGGCCTCCAAGACCTTTTTGGGGTTCTAAACCTCACGAGCGTAGCGAGGGTGGTTTAGAACCCCAAAAAGGTCGAGGAGGCCCAAGGCTAAGTGGTTTTCCCCTCAATTTAATTATCCTCATGAAAACTCCCGGTTAAGTAGTAATTTATCGTTTAATCTCCTGTTCAACGAAATAACCAACCGTGGGGGATAAAATAATAATGAAATCAATAAAACTATCAATTATGATTTTAATTCTCTTATTTCTTACTAATGCATATGGAAGAATATTTAATAAGCAAATTTAATGATTTCTAAAAATAGTAATTGGGTTTCTAAATTTCTCAATATTTTTGTGAAAACTTCGCAACATTTTTGTGAAAACTTCACAAAATTCGTATAGAAATTCAGAAACTTCTCATTCAAGAAAGAGCTTCCGTACCATTAACATGTCATCCATCATTTTTCTCAAATCTGCTCTTGAGCTTTTAAAGCCGGATTATAGAAAAAAGGTAAGAACTAAATTGAAAAAGAATTGTCTTAAAATTGATATAAATCAAATTGGTGAGCTCCTTGTGTCAATAATCTCTTTTTTAGTGCCAGAAAACCTGGATGAACTTCATAGATCATACTGGATGAAACAGCGCTCAGACAAGAAGGAAACCAAGTTCCTAGTTCCTAACGATGGGCCAGTAAATTTTGCAGCTGTTATTGATGATTATCTGAACGTGATTAAAAGTAGCCTTGGTCATTTCACGGGTCGAGTATTTTTTAAGGGTACTCCTGCTGCATATGCTGACCAGCCTATGGGGAAAAATCTTGTAAGTAAAGTGCCATGTGAAATGACAACAGTTCTTGGTCTAGATAATCCAGTATCTTTTACATTTCATTCTCTACGTCGCTCGTCCGCCACAGCAGCAGCTGACAGCGGAGCATCCGTTCAACAGCTTATGGATTTTTATGGGTGGTCTAATCCGAGCATGCCTCAAGAATATGTATCATCAAGCAAAGCTTCTGTAAAATCCATGGCTGATAAACTTCAAGGACCTTCTAATCAAGTAGAAAAAACAGAGGTTAGCGAAGTCAGAATAGAGAATATTGAAAAGTGTTCCTTAGCTTCATCTCCTCAGAGTAGAAAGCCCTATGTGATTCAAAATGCAGACAAAATAGTAATTATCGAACATTTTCATGGGAACAACTTTACAATGTAATTATGTAAACCCGAAAAGAATGATGTAATATAATATATTTGATGACAGCTCAGTAAAGCTGTATGTACATGTTTTGATCTTTCCTAGATCAAATATTAAACTAGGTGTAGTTTACTATTTTATTCAAAATTGATTGAGAGAGCGATAAATGTAAAAATAAAATTAAATCAGAGAACTATTTATTTGATAAATCTGTATGGATCACAGGGAGGATAATTACTTATCCTCCCTGTAAAGAGGGAGGATAAGTAATTATCCTCCCTGTAAATAGGGAGGATAAGTAATTATCCTCCCTGGAAATAAAAAAGTAGGGAATTTAAGGTTGGTTATTTCGTTGAACAGGAGATTAACGATTTTTCCGGATTTTTCATCTTTTTATCATTGAGGAACCTTTATTTAAAAAATAGTAGTAACTCTTTAGAGCTTTAAAACGGGAGCATTGTTAAAAACTTATGTAGGCTTTAATATCCCTTGTATCATGTAAGACTGAGTGTGCTGGTCCTCTTATAGGTTTTTTTTATCATGGGCTATTTACTAATTAACTCTCGGATTATGACAAACTTTATTGTTACTTTGCTTAATGCACATAGATATAGTCAACCTGTTACTAGTCTAGTTCTTCACCCTTAAACATTAACATTATATAATCTTACACACTAATGATTAAATATACTTTTACAGAATAAAGATTACAAAGATACTATGTAGGTTAAACACATTTTGAGAAATAGTCTGGTTTAGATTAAGTAAAAGGGAGACAAACACATAAATTTGCCATTAAGACAAAATGGAGTATAAAATATGAAAATGTAACAGATTTAATTTCAGTCTAATACTGGAATAGAGATTATTGATTGTTTTAAATCAGTAAAATTGCCAATAAAATGTATCTATGTAAATATAAAATTAAAACATAATTGAACTAAATCAGATCCTGGAACTGATTAACATAACAGAGCTGGAAACTTCTGTGTTGGATAATCCTGAGATGGAATTTAAAGAATTTGAGCCACGGTTTAAATCCGCCAAACCCCGGTTTAAATTTAGCGCCGGCTTAAATCTTGAAACATTTGATACAATTTTAAGTGGAACCAACCATATTTAAACCGCGGCTTAAATTTAAACCGCCGCTCAAATTCTTTAAATTCGGCCACAGATCACTTGATATTGATATTCACTATGGGTACTTATAATTTGAGGATCAATGCTTGATCTCTTCATTTTTTCATTTTAGTTAATCATCCACGTTACAACACTATGCGGGATATTGACTAAAGATTAAATTAATCTGCAGATTAAAAGCATTGATCTCGATATCCACAATGAAAGAGTTTCCAGCTCAGATTTTTGGACAAATCAAGCTTTATCTTGTCCAATAATATACCAATCAAGTAATGTTCTCCAGAAAAAAAAACATACAAAATAAATCAAATATGTCCGATTTAATTTCCAGAGAAAACTCCCCCCAAAACTGTGTTAATGAGACCACCAACTGCAGAATCTTGTCCGCTAAAATACATCTTGGTGTTATTCATCAAAGCCTTTGTCAACTGAAGTTTAATGAACTGATCCGTGAGAAGCTCCTTATTAACAGCTGCATCACTTAAAGCTGTAAATGTTGAAATATCAGAATCTGTCTGACCTATTTTCCTTCTTCTTTCATTATCAATATCAGCTATTTTATCCAACCCTTCAGCTCTTTTTATTTCTTGCATCGTTAAGATTTCACTCACTTGTTTGGCCTTCTCTGCTTCAAGGAGGGCTGTTTGAATTTCAGTTTCCTTTTTAATCTTCTCGATCTTTTTCTTCTCTTCGGCCACAAGCTTTTTTGTCCACTCAATCTTCACTTCTCGATAGTTTTGAGCTATCATAGGTGGAATGTCAGGCTTTGGGATAAAAAGATTTAGAACAGTAATGGCTTCGTCTGCAAGTACTTTGATTTTTTCTGTAACCATTTCTTTTACAAAGCCCTCGATTTCAAGAAATTTACTATTGTAAACTTCATCAATAGAGCTGTTGGCACAGAACGCTTGAACAGCTTCAGCCACCCGATCGTAAACAAGAACTTTCTTCATATCATTCCCATAGTTTGTTATCAAGTATCTGAGCTTGCTTTGATCAACTGAACAAATTACTTGAACATTTCGAAATATATTCGTCACTCCGTCGGATGTTGTACACGTTAACGGATCCAGGTAGGTGGTTTCCGGTCGAACTACTACTTCCATCATAGTTGTAATGAATGGTAATGCAGTGTGAAGCCCCGGCCCAGCAAGAGAGTCTAAAAGTGCTCCACTTCTAAAATATACTCCAACATTTCCTTCATTTACCCTATGAACAGAGTTCACAAGGCAAGCAATGAGAACAAAAACTGCAATAACAGCAATTAGACCTGTAAACAGTATACACGTGATGCTATATCCGCCAGGCTTAGAATTATGGTCCTCGGCACCTCCCAGTTCAAGAGAACTGGGTCCATTGATCTTTGAGGTTCCATGGGCGAATGGCCCGTTAGAATTGGGTTGACTTGAGTGTTGGTTCAAGAATGGAATAGTTGTCATTGTTGGCATACCTGTTCTGCATATCCCCGCCTGGCATCTGTCAAGGATATTTTGCTACTGAAACAAGGAGGCAGACAAGCTGGTCCATTGAACCAGAGGAATGGACGACAACTTAGGAACAAAGATGGGATTTCATGCTATATATCGTGAACGAGAGTCAGAGGTCTCTAGAAATTAAAAAGGGGCTTTTAAGTACACCCCACCCTCCCTCCTTCCCCCAACATGAAAGAAAATATTATTCAATATTATGTGTCTATTTTTTTTTAAAGTTATTAAAGTTAGTCTTACCCGAAAACAAAACTAAGATCTCTTTTTAAATTTGATCACCCTAAAATCTGGAAAGTTCCGTATAATTTATTTATAAAGTTCATAGAGGCCAAGTCATGAAATCTTTACTGATTAAACATTTATATTTACTTGAAATTCTACATTGTCCACCAAATTGAAAACATGAAAAAAATCAACCAAGGGCAAATGCTTTTATGAAGCCTTATAATTGTACTTTTAATACATATAGAGCGTTTGTTTTTAGCTTTGTCATTTAAGAACACAGACTACACAGACTGCTCATACACTCCACCTGGATAGGCTGAGGAGGCCTATAGTGTCCCGGCACGCCAAGCTACGGTTCCATGTAATGTTTTTGACTGACATCTCAAGGACGGTTGTTGCATTGAGGGGGGTCAAGTTTTACAACTTTTAAAGAAATACTTCAATTTTAAACATAAAACATAAAGTTTGTAAATATTGTCTATTTTTAAAGATTTTGCATTTCCTATTCAAAGGATCCTTAAATATCCCTGAATACAGATGTCTCCTGATTGGTCGTGTACAGTATATAGTATAGAACATGCTGTGGATAATATTGCAAATTATAGGGGTTAATCGATCTCTGCAACTCTGTTATCTTAAGTCTCATGGATCTTTGTTTGAAAGCTTGCAAACTTTCAATTTAGTGTGGCGCTGTTAACACACTCTTTTTGGTCATGGACTATCCTATTAATAAGAATAATAAGAAAGAAATTATATAAATGCGGTTTAATGAATTAAAAACGCAAATCAAGCGCATATTTCAGAGCCCGTCAGTGACCAATTTTTTTTAGCCTGGTTTCATAACTACTCTACTCATTGCAAGAGCTATCATTTAACCTCAACAAAAAAATAAATTTTTTCGATTCCCAACAAAACTTCCGAGCTAAGAATTGTAGTATTTTAAAAATGATAGCTTTTGAAACGAACCTTCATTAACAACTGTTAACGATCGTTAACGACGTCCCATTGTGAACAACCTTTTCAAAGAAATAATACATTTTTAGTGGAAAATCTTCTCAGAAAACATTCAGGATATTTATTTTAAAAACGATAGCTTTTTAAACGATAGTTTTTGAAACTAACCTTCGTTAACGACGTCACTTCGTGAACAATCGTTAACAACATTTTAAAGAAATAATACATTTATCCTGAGTGTCAGATAACATTCAGGATAAATGTATGTTACACGTGACCCCTAAAAAACACAGAGATTATGAACTAATTCAACCCTTTAAAACTTGCAAATGTGCTCTACGTTTTTTTATTTCAGAAGGCGTCCTGGTTAAAAATTTTGAGCATAGCATCAAAAGTGTTTTAACTAAAAGATATGATCTTAAGTGGAACGACAAGATATTTAAAATATTTATCCAACCACCAAATTTTTTACTAAATTTTGAGTTGTTTGGTATTATTGATGTTGTTTGATATATAAGATCTGTCAAAAATGCAAACAAACATTTACTCCAAACAATTGTTGATAGTGATATTAAGTGTATTTAACAGTAATAAAATTGGTTAAAAATTTTATTTTTTATTTGATTTTTTGTACAATTGAAGAGACGCACGTTTAATGAAAGACAGCACATAATACATAAAACTAAGATGATATTAAATATAAAACATTAAGGGACTGTAAGCGTGATTTCAAGTGACACTCTATTTGAAAAGAGGAGTGTCCGATCCACAACGGTACACTGTAAACCTTTTATCCAGACAACGATGATGTAGATATCCTCATTTGTACACTCAGTAGGGAGACTGTACACGCCGTGTACAATCGCGCGGTTTCTGTAAATGTCCGCTAAATTGAATTTCTACGCAATCCTTGATCAAACAAAGGTTAAAAGCTGTGCTTAGGATCCATTTAAGTTTGATGCGGATCCGGATCCTGGATCCGCACTGAAAAAAATGTTTCCAGGTCATTTAATTTTCAAATTTTTTGTTTTATTTTTTTTTATTTTCAGAAATGAGAAAAAATTTTTACTCTCTTTTTTCAAAAGTTCAGATTTGGGTTTTAGGAGTAAAAAATTTGATATTTTACCCCTTGGATCCGGATCCAGGAAGCCAAAATCTTGCGGATCCAAAGGATCCGGACCCAGGAAGCCAAAATCTTGAGGATCCAACGGATCCGGATCCTAAACACTGGTTTAAAGTATATTGTTCCATATAGGACATGGCACTCTTAACATGTAAGGTCACTCGAAATCACACTTAAAGTCTCTGAATGGTTGAAACCGTTATTTGTTGACAAACTAACAATATAAGCTATTATTTTATTTGAGCAAACAAGTAATTAATAAAAATAATTGACTCAATTCTTTATGAACAATTAATTCTTGTCGCTTTCTAATTGTATGGTTTCATACAAAATGAATTCACTGGAATTTCTATTTTGGTAAATGTGTACTTACACCTAAAAAAAAACTCTAAACATAGAATCGTTGTTTTACTATGCCGGAAAAAAAAACATTATCAAAGAAATACGTCTAACCATCTGAATTTGGTGGACCCAGTAAACTTGCATCTAATCCAGGTTTTACAGCTGACCATAATTCAGCTTCATGTCCAGGAGCTAAAAATAGCATTTATGTCAGAGATAAGTATCATGCCCCCTCCCCCCCGCAGAGAATTTGTTTTAAGTTTAATCGTTATTTTGAGGAATTTTCAAACTTGCAAAACTCACAATTATTCTATTCTTCTCTTTCTAAAATTTATGATTTTTGTAGTATATAAAAGTTTTGTTGTGTAGGTGTTTACATTACTAGTTTGCATCAATATTACCTATAGAAGTTAAAACCGTCTGAAGAGCTATCCTAGTTGCATCTACAGCATCCTAAATTGGAAACATTTAAAGTTTTTCCAATTATGAAACTGACAACTAAAGTTTGTCCGATATTGGACTGAAACTGAAGACTAAAGTTTGTTTGATAATAGAGTGAAACTGACAAATAGAGTTTGCCTGATAATGGACTGAAACTGATAATAAACTGAAAACTAAAAATTTGTCTGATAATGGACTGAAACTGAAGACTAAACGTTTGTTTGATAATAAACTGAAACTGTCAGTTAAAGTTTGTCTGATAGTGGACTAAAAATGAAGACTAAAAGTTTGTCTGATAAAAACAAATTTTTAAAACTTAGTGCTCTATAGTGCAAGCCGTTCGCAAGTTATTAGGGAAAATTCAGTGGGGGGGGGGGGTTAAGTTTATAAATACGTATTTAAATAGAAAAATTAAATCATTTGATATAAAACTACTTTGAAAAATGATAAATCTCAAATCAGCCCCCCCCCCCAGAATGTTTTGAGAAAACATAATTATTAAATTACCTGCAGTACTCCAGCACTCAGTGAATCTAGGTTAGTTATTGAGAAGCCCAGGGGTTTATATCTAAACATTAAAAAATTATAAATAAAGTATTTATTAGAAAAGAAAGTTAAGTATCTTAATTCTGGTTTTATAAGGGTTTCCGACGCATGTAGAGTGTGAACCGTTTTCAATTTTTTAAAAACGGTAGTTTTGTTTTAAAAACGACCAAGAAAAGGCGAAAAATCGGTCGTTAAATAGTTTTTGAAAAGGTCATCTTTTAAATAAAAAAGAAAACCTTATGTCAGAAAACATTCAAGACAACATTCATAAACATGGAAATAAATTTTAAAAAATTTAGATTCATTAGCGTAGAACTTTTTTATATCATCGCGATATTTTTTTTTAAAAAGATCATTTTTCGTTTTTAAAAACGTGTTGTTCGTTCGTTGCGACTTCTAAAAATAAAACGGTCGTTTTTAAAAAACAAAAACGAAACGAAAAACGATCGTTTTTTTCAATCGTTTTTAAAACAATTAACGACCCTTAGATGGGATGGTCAGTAAAGCGGAAGTGAAGTAGGTCGCAAATAATACCACCCAGAGTCTAATCATATGTTTTTCTAAAAAGTGATTTACCTTGGATTGATTGCTTGCAAGCTCTCATTCAAATTTTCAATCTTCGTGAATATTAAATCTGGAAAACGACGGATATTAGTGTTCTAGCTTAAAGGGACTGTACGCTATTAGTGAACATTAGTTGTTCTAGCTTAAAGGGACTGTACGCTATTAGTGAACACTAGTTGTTCTAGCTTAAAGGGACTGTACGCTATTAGTGAACATTAGTTGTTCTAGCTTAAAGGGACTGTACGCTATTAGTGAACATTAGTTGTTCTAGCTTAAAGGGACTGTACGCTATTAGTGAACATTAGTTGTTCTGGCTTAAAGGGACTGTACGCTATTAGTGAACATTAGTTGTTCTAGCTTAAAGGGACTGTACGCTTAATTTTAACTGACCAATACAAAACAAGAAAAGAGAGTAATGCCCGATTTAACATGGTACACTTTATTTGATCAATAATGTCGAAGACTTGTTGTTTTCCTAGGTTTATTGTGTTTATTTCTGAAAATTCCCACATGTTTTCCTGCAGTAGAAATGCGCAAGTAACTTTTGTATAGAAATCACAAATTAAAATGATCAGTTTATGAAAAATGTCTCAGTCAAAGCTTTGTAAGGGTACCGTTGTGTACAGGGTGTCCCAATAAACATGGGAATTCAGTTATACGAATTCGATATCGTCTTAGTTATGGTTTAGCATTGTAATTCCTAATTTCAAAAGACAAACTATTTTTATGTCTGCTAGAGTTTATTTAATGAAAACGGTAAATGGCTGTAAAGATGTGTCTATAATGTCTCCGCAAGATGAACAGTGAATACGGACAAGTTTACTCTGTTTGTAAACTGCAATTTTCTTGTTTTACTAAGTACAACCGTATGCAGTCAAAACATAACCAAACAAAATGTGAACATAGAAGACGAAACTCTTATATAGATTACAGCTTTCTCAGTAAGTATCACTATACTAAATCAAAGAATTATTTGAAAAGACGATATCGAATTCGTCACTGAATTCCCATGTTTATTGGGACACCCTGTATAGGGCATTGTCATCTTTGCATGGAGTGTAACTTTATTTTTTGCGAAGAGTCCCTTTAATTAATCGTAATTTTTATACACTTTTTGCTATTGCAAATTTTCACCTTGCCAAGAAGGTTCTGAGCCAGTTATTACTTCAGTTTCGTCGTTCTTCGAGGATACACTTTTTCCTAACAGAGACAATATGTTATCTATCTGTAGTGTTTTCAGCTTTACACGACTAGTTTTTAACAAAAAAATCTAGAGTTTATATTTAAAAAGATAGATTTAATATTTTTTCATGCTTTCTAAAACAATTCTTTAATTAAATCATAATATATAAGAGAAATATAGAGAATTCTTAAACATTTGTTACCTTTGATAATCTTTTGTGGAAATGAAAATCCAGAAGTAGAACTAGATAGCGAGGTGGTAGCGAGGGAAGGGGAAGAAATGGCTCGAGAAATGGAAGCGGAGGGAGAAGAGAGAACCCTAGGAAGAAGGGTAGAGGAGGGAGGAGCAGAGAGAACCCTAGGAAGAAGGGTGGAGGAGGGACGAGAAGAGAGAACCCTAGGAAGAAGGGTTGAGGAGGGAGGAGAAGTAACAGCAAAGGAAGGAAGTGAAAACGGATTTTTCTCCAACCCAACTCCTTCATCGTCAACGCAAACACTGTCAGAGAAATCTAAGTCCTAGATTATTATTGATAGATTATCATTCACAATCACAGTGAATCTGTATATATATTATTAAGCAAATCACTGTTCAAAACATGATTTGAAATATAATTATTATGAAAGCTATAGCTCGCCAAGCGGCTGGTCCTAATCGGCTGAGAGAATTATTGGTTCATTGTCAAAAAACTTGTAGGAGCGTCCTGGAATATGCTGCTCCAGTATGGGCTCCAGCTGTAAGCAACTCTTACTCAAGGTGGTCTGATCTACAGACTGTTCAAAATTTAGCCTTGAGAATTGCCACTGGATCTCTAGTCATAACAAATATAGTCCACCTACACATTGAAATCAAGGTGCTCCCTCTCGAAATACACAGCAAAATGATCTCAAAACAATACTTCGTATCAACCCGTGCCTACCTGATCATCCTGCAGGCAATAAACAAACACCTTCTCAGACCTCAACCCCCTCGTCAAATGAAATTTAAAAATCTATGAACATCTAAACAGACGAAGTTACTCACAGATTCGGAGAACAGGAACCGACCAAACAAGATCATAAAAGAATCCTAAAAGATATACACTCATATACACTATACAAAAATTCCCTGCAAATCGCTAGGCAAGATTATAACCCCCCTCCTTCAAGCAGTCCCGATGAAATTAAACTCACAAGAATCGCCAGATCAAGACTCAAGCAAACCCAACCAGCCTTCCCACTACCAGCCTATGGACCCACCCTATTGAAGCCTCTAATTTCCTTGGACTGGAAAAAATCGAAGATCCTGACCCAGACTGAAGCTACAACAACAACAACCTAATTGGCTATATTTTTTTGAGGATATCTTATGGGTATTGGGTACCCTTGGGTGACAAAGGCTAAAAAATTCAAAATATCTTTTTCTTCAAAATTCGACATTCAAATTTTTTATAGATGTTTTTAAAATTCCATGGAAAACGCCGAGCACTTCAGCTAGTAATATTTATAATACTAGCTCTGAAGTGCCCGGTGTTGCCCGTGGAATTAATTGTGGGAAAAACGATTTAAAAAGAAATTAAATTTTTTAGCCAATGTTACATGTTACCCCGGGAGTTTCCTTAAAAAAATTCAGCCATTAAGTCCAGCCGTTTGGACAGAAATAGCTCACATATATACATTCAAATATGTATATATGAGCGAAGAGCTTTATTATATATATACAGAATACATATGATAAATTAAATAGGAATAAACTTATTTTTTTCCATAAACGTTAATTTTGTTTAAAAGTAATTTGTACCATAAACAATAAACATGCAATTTTGTATCTAGAAAGATTCTCTTTTCAATGATTCAAAATATCTTTTTTTAATCGTAATGAGTAAATCATGACTCACAATTTTTCAAAACCTAAAGGGACTGTAAACGTTATTTGAAGTGACATATTCACATTGATACCCTTGAAAGCTTTACAAGGTCAATAATGTGGAAGATATTGTAGTTTCTCAAGGTTTGAAAGTGATGAATAATCTCTGATAATTCTTAAGTTTTCCTGCAGTAGAAAAGCGCAAGTCTTTTTGCAAAGAACCCCCAATGGAAAATAAACAGTTTTTAGAACTATAAACATCAATATACATTTCATACTTGATCAGACAAAGCTTTTATGGATGAACAAAAGCAAGCGTTCAACCATTTGCCATCTTTGCATGGAGGGTCACTTGAAATAACGCTAACAGTCCCTTTAAATTGCACTAGAAGCAAGATTGCTGTGTAAATAAAAACAATGTCCTAACCTTTAATGATGTTATCCTACACTGTTGACAGACGAGTAGACCTATCTTCAAATATTTACCCCGCATCATGTACAGCTCTAAACCCATCCTGAAACAAAAAGTAAAAGTTAGAAGAGAAAATTCAGATGATATGTGAAAATCAGTAACAAACATTATTTCATATTAACAGGGTTTTTTTTTCATTCGTTTAATATAGATACCCCCCCCCCGCAAAAAAAAATTTAACAAAAAAGTTAGAAAGTTAATTTTGCAAATGTATAGTTGTAAAAAATACCGGACGATTTTCCTCTTTTGTGGATTTTATATATCTCTTAACAAAATGAAAAAACTCTGTTGAAAAAANCCCTCCTCCATTCCTAAGAACTGTTGAATATCGTGATTGATTAAGTCAATGCTTCACTACCAATGATTATTTAATCAAGTCTCACGATATACTTCAGATAAAACTGTAACTAGGAATAGAGAATTAATTATTCTAATTTATCAAACCCCGATAATTATAATATCTTTCTCTCTGTATTGATAGCGTTGTTCTAATTACGATAATGATAATATCTTCTCTTTGTATTGATAGCGTTGTTCTAATTACGATAATGATAATATCTTCTCTTTGTATTGATAGCGTTGTTCTAATCACGACCTCAACCATCAAGGCAGGGGAGGGGAAGAAATAAAAATTTGAGCACACAGGACAAGGATATAAAAAGCGTAAAAGGAGAGAGGAAGAAGAAAAATTGTTATAAAAAAAAACAGAAAAGGGGGAAAAATTCAATGCAATATGCTAAAATATTGTATTTGTGTATTTAAAGGGAGTGACCGGCAATTTTTTTCCAAATACTACATTTTCAGTTAAACTACCATACATTGCGGTCACCCCCGTTAAGAACAACTAAAATGGTGATGGGATAGGGTTTAATCAATTTAAAGGGACTGTCAGCGTAATTTTAAGTGACCCTTCATGTAATAATAATGCCCTTTTTAACTCTTTAAACCAATATCTTATCAATAATGTGGAAGATATTTTAGTTTTTCTAGATTTAAAGAAGTGCAATCACTTCTTTAAATCTAGAAATCTATGATGATACCTTATAGTAGAAATACGTAAGTCATTTTTGTACAGAAACCACAATCGAGTTTTCAAGATCATAATCATTTAAATATCTAATTCATTTTTGAGCTGACAACGCTTTAAAGGGTTATGTTGTGAATCGGGCATTGTCATCTTAGCATGTAGAGTCACTTGAAACTTTGAGTACAGTCCCTTTAAGGAAAATAAAAGATTTGATAAACATGTTACCTGTATGTGATCACAAACATTTTACCAGATCCTTTGTTTGTGCGCTTCCGTTCACATTGAGAACAGGATTTAGTATCCATCAAATGCACGATTTCATGTCTAATATAAAAAAGTATTAATTTTTAGGGGTGTTTACTGTTTAGCCTAGGGGGTGAACTTTTGACGCGTGGCGCGTGACGAATTTATTTTTGAAAAAATACACACCCCAGTTAATATCTGAAAGAAACTTATCTTCCCTTAAGTTTGATCTCACAGGGGGGATGAGGGGGGGGGGGTACGCGTTCGTCCCTGGCACAGTAGAATATTTACCTGTGATATGAGCATATCCATGTCGGACTCTCATCTGCTTTCCAGTACGCCAGACCCAGTCTACTCTTGATCACATTCTTCTCCGGTGTAGTTAGGGGTCCTGAAAATCAAAATTTGTGAGTCAAATATTTGCACCCGATTAACAACGAGAGACAAAAGTGGGAAAATTAGGAGTCAATAAGGTCATCCAAAAAATCCATTTATTTTTATTTTCAAAATTAGCCAAAGTATGATTGAAGGATGGACAAGGAATGGAAGATCAAGAAGAAAGAATGAAAAACAAGAATATAGAAGTCTCAAAATGTTTCCATCTGATATCATATTGAAATTTAAAAATATTGTAAATTTAATAAAAATAAATTATTAAAGTTAAAAAGGAGTCAATATGGACAATGGGCATTAGGTTGACACATGAAGAAGCGAAAGTCATAAAATCAAAAGATGCGAAGGTTCTTTGGGTGATGTCAACCCTTGGTATTGAAATGCAAAAACATTTTTTGCTTCAACTTAATGTACAAAGGTGGAAGTACTTTCAGGAAACATCTCGTTTTTTCTTGAGGATAGGGGGACAAATATAATTAGACACAAAATACTCATATTGGGCCACATCACCCATAGAAACTATGCACACCAAAAAATGTTTATTGTTTACCCCCTTTGTTTCTCACCCTAATGGACATGTTAAGAGAGGAGAGTTCATTTAAATTCATTAAGTAGCATTATATCATTCAAACTGTAAATTATTCAATTTTTACTGATCCTTGCCGCCGCATCAATCTTTTCTCCGTTATTAGCATTAGGCGTATTCAGCCATTTCCTTCTTTTTGACCCAATGAAAGTGAAGGAATTGAGTCTTTGCCAAAAACTTAAATTTTCTAATCCCTTTTTTTGCAACCTGGTGTTGTTTAAACCTTTAATAATTCAAACGTAACTGATTTGATAAACCAAAATTCATACTTTTAAATATCTCATGTCTACAATATTGACTTCCAAAAATATGGGGGTCAAAACATCAATGTTTGTGACAAAAATCAATTCCTTTGCAGAGCAATTGCATCCAAATATGATTCGGTTTGTGCCGATATCCCCTTTTAATTCATTTTCGAGGAGAACATTATTTGTATGAATAAAGTAAGGTTTGATGGGTCCCTCTTAAAAAGTGAAAACGATGGCTGCCCCCCCCCCCTACCCCTGGAAAGTTTATGTAACGAATTAAAAAAAATATTCATATTTGGCATCAATAAACCAAACATTGAATATAGCTTAATTAATTATTAACAATTTACAAAGCCTAAGTCAAAAAAGTAAAAAATTAATAATAAGAATTTGAAAAATTCTTTAAGATTTTTTTCCAATACTTAATTTTTCAATATTATCAAAACAATAATGGTGTGATTTGAAGTGATGAGGGTTAATTATATCTAATCTTTTAATGATAAGTTCGTAGAAAAATTATTTTTACTTGTTGTCCGTGATAATCATTATTACCTGCAGTTTTATACTTCATATCAAGAAGATTCAGGGATTGGTTGAGTGCGTTTAGGTCAAACAATTCTCCGGAACAACTGAAAAAGCAGTTTTTAGGATCCGGATCCGCTAAAATATGCGGAACCACGGATCCTGATCCAAGGGGTAAAATGCAAACCAAAACCTGCTAAAAATGTATGTGATGTTCTCAAAACACAAATCTGTTTACTAATGAGCGATTGTTAAAACTTTAAAATCTTTTAATGGTTCAGCAAGCTTCAGCATGAAAATTTAAATGGTTCAGCAAGCTTCAGCATGAAAATTTAAATGGTTTCAGCAAGCTTCAGCATGAACATTTAAATGGTTCAGCAAGCTTCACCATGAAAATTTAAATGGTTTCAGCAAGCTTCGGCATGAACATTTAAATGGTTTAGCAAGCTTCAGCATGAACATTTAAATGGTTTAGCAAGCTTCAGCATGAACATTTAAATGGTTTCAGCAAGCTTCGGCATGAACATTTAAATGGTTTAGCAAGCTTCAGCATGAACATTTAAATGGTTTAGCAAGCTTCAGCATGAAAAGAAGCTAAAAAAATCTTAACAAATTTTCCTCTGTTTAAAAATTCAGTACATTTTGAGAAAGCTAAATTTCAACATTTTAAATGATTAAAAGTGGTCCTCCGACCTCCATGTCGGAAGTTGCATTTTCCAAAAATCTTTAAGAAATATAAAAATAAGATTTGCCTTTAATACCTTTAATACAAACAAATCTGATTAACGGTGAAACTATTTCATCAAAAATGTCGAATTTTTTTTTTACCAGAAAAAATATTATACATAGCAAATTAGAAGCAACAAAAATATAAAATTTAAAATAAAAAAATAAAAACTCATTCGTAACTAACTATTTATAAAACAGAGTTCATAGAACGTCCATTTTTCATTTCTTTAAAACATGCTGAGGCCGAATTTAAAGAATTTGAGCCGCGGCTTAAATTTGAAAAGCGGCTCAAATGTGATTTGTTCCACTTAAAAATGTATATCTTCAAGATTTAAGCTGGCGTTCAAGTGAAACCGGTTTTTTGGCGGATTTGAGACGCGACTCAAATTCATTAAATTCGGGCTCTGATTGTTGATTGAACATTGAACCGCTGAATACCGTCTATGTCTTCGTTTTTCGATATTCCAAAAATTGCTATATTTCTGGCTGTTATTTGATTTAAGCAAAAAAATCGATGTCAGTTTGAAGAGAATTTAAATTACTTTTTAAAGGGACAGTAAAGGGAAAATGAAAGGGGGTATAGGCTAAAAGCTAATCACTTTAGCTTTTGGTCGCGACCCATGAAAGTTATATCTGATGTTCCTGTCTCGAGAAACTGATATAAAACTGTGTTAAAATTATACGAAAATTCATATAAGTAAAATTTTGAAAACCTGAAACTTAAATCACGTGACCAGAACTATCACCAATGGCAGAGCAGTATACTGGTCACGTGTCTCCGTCTGTATCACGTGACCACTTTACTGCACTGCCATTGGTGGAATTTCTGGTCAAGTAATACGGACGTAAAAATAATATTATGAATGAAATCTATTGAAAATAGAAATAACAAATATAAAAGTAAACCTAATTTACAATTAGCTTTCTCTGGGATATCATCGTTTTCAGATTGGTTGCTTATTTGCTGAATTTAATCTGTTTAAACCTACTACTTTTATACAAAATTGTATATATATTAATTTTCGTATACATTTGACACAGTTTTATATCAATTTCTCGAGACATGAACATCAGATATGACTTTCATGGGTCGCGATCAAGAGCTAAAGTGATTAGCTTTCAGCCTATACCCCCTTTCATTTTTCCTTTACTGTCACTTTAAATCTTTTTAAATGTACCGCTGATAACCTAAGAACTGGAGCAATGTGGGAATTTTTATCAAAAAAGTGCCCCATACTTTCATCCTGGCTTTAATTTGCACTTCACATATTATTTTTGTATTTTTATACAGTTTAACCCGGAACTTCAGAGATATAGAAAGAATAAATAACATGTAATTTTCTTAGCCCACTGCTACTGTAATACTGCAGATATTTAGAATCTTAATTGAACAAGTATATTAAGCGTTTTAAAACTGTTACCGTAAATTTCATGTATGGTTTTTTTAATCAGTTTTACAATTACTGAGATTCAGTAACAGTAAGGAGTATAAAACCCATTAAAAAACTGTCAAGACGACATTTTAAAAATTCTTCCGATGTTTCCAAAGTTCTGGGATTAATTGTTTGTAAGTATAGTAAGTATTTGTCCTACCTACTCGTATCACCGTTTCCAGCAGCGCAGTGTGGAAGATCAAAATGACCACTATTGTTGAACTCCTGACTCTGAGATTCCACACTCTAACAATTAAAAAATTATTCCCGATCAGTTTCCTAATCCACGTTTAAGGGACTAGAGTAATTTAAAGAAACCCATAGCTGGGAACTTATTAATGGTGGATATCTGGATTAAGGCCTGATCCACTCTTTTTCATAATCTCGAGATTTAATAATGCTTGTTCTCCTCTATCCTATCCTAAGGATATTCCATTTCTAAAGTTTTCAGCTCAGGTAAAAATAGCAATGTCTGATTTACAACAGAATCCTTAGAAGCTTTGTCTGAAGAAGTATGATTTATCAGACTTTTATGGACGCCCTATGACTGTATTTTCTGCTTATTTTTGTTAGTGGTTTCTCTGCAAAGTGACTTGCACATTTCTTGCCTGCAATTAACAATGGAGGGAGTTAACAGAAATAAAAAATTTAAATCTGAGAAAAAGGACGATATCTTCCACGTTTGGCCACAGATTATGGTATCCATTTAAGATCGGGCATCGCCATCTATGGATGGAGGGTATCTGGAAATTGCACATACAGTCTAATGTCCAAAAATGTCAGCTTTTACAACAGGCAATGAACCCTCTCTCCTACTTTGACGTCGGCAATATTTATCTCAATTTTCAACAGTTTATTATTATTTAACTACCTGTGGGTTAATAGATTGGTTCTCTTCCTCCTTAAAAGGTTTAAGATAAACCGTCATCCCTTCTATTTTCTCTTCTGCTTCTTGAGTATCCATCTTGATATCATCAAGAGCCTCATCAGCAGTCCTTTCATTTATCTCAAACTCTGTACAGACATATTTTAACAAAATTTAAGTTATACTTCATCTTTTTTATTTCAGCAAGTGAAGTCATTGTGTATTAGTAATGTTTTAATGGATAAGTTTCATTCATCTTTTTTATTTAAGCAAGTGAAATCATTGTGCATTAGTAATGTTTTAATGGATAAGTTTCATCAATATTCCAGGGTTGTATATTTTCTCAGTACATAATTTTACTCCCAAGTCATCAAAAATCATCCCCCCCCCCCAGGTGCAGTGAAAAATATGCACCCCAGCATTATGCATTGTGTGTAAATAATGTTTTTAGTTAACTTTTCAATATTTTTTCTTAAATTTTTGAAGTAGTTCGATTAGATATTAGAACACAAAAGAAATAAACTTTAAAGCAGTGCTTAAGATTCATTTGATTTTGATGCGGATCCAGGATCCGCACTGGAACATTTCCTAAAGATTTACTGATAGAAGAAAAATGTTCAAATCTTGTTTCTTCTATTTCCGTGATTTTTTGCTTTAACTAGATGAAACACTCAAAGATAAAAAAAACGTTTTAAAATTTCTCTTTTTTTCAACAGTTTGGGTTTGTTTTTCAGTTTTGGTTTGGACTATTGACCTTTTGATCAGGATCCTAAGCACTGAAATAAAGCATTCAAATAGAAACCTATTTATTTATTGAATGTTAAAATAATTCCCTTCTTTAATATCCTCCAAATCTAGTTTCTCCTCCACTATTCTAAGCTGAGGAGGGGATGGTGGGAGAGAATTGAAACCCTGAGACTCGGGGGATAATTGTAAACCATTGCCGTCTGAATATTCGCCAGTTTGGGGCATAATCTTCTCATCCCCATCAGAGAGAGAATCTGAATTGGGAACCCTGAAAAATTAAAGGGACTGTAAGCGTAATTTCATGTGACCCTTCATAATCTTCTCATCAGAGGGAGAATCTGAATTGGGAACCCTGAAAAATTAAAGGGACTGTACGCGTAATTTTATGTGACCCTTCATGCAAAGCTGGCAATGTTCGATTTACACCGGTACTTTGAACTACTTTGTCTGATCCAAGTATTAATCAGATGATTTTGAATTTTATTATTTTCAAAAGTGACTTGCGGCAGGAAGCAAGTATGGGAGTTCGAGAAATAAATACTTTTACGCAAAGAAAGAAGCCAATTTCTTCCACATTATAGAGCAGAAAAAGGTTTCAAGGGTACCGTTGTGAATCAGGCATTGCTATTTTTGAATTAGAGTTCACTTGAAATTCCGTTTCCTTAATGGTTAATTATACTAAATATCTTTGTTAGAAATTTAATACGATATCTCTTAAACCCATACTACTAGTAGAAGTAAACTTGTGGACACCTAAATATTTTATCTTTCGTCAGTACTTTCCACTTCATTCCGCTGTTGGGTAGTTAAGCACATAGCGGGATAAATATTTTGAAATGCTATTTTGCTATAAGCTAAGATATCAATTTTGCTATTGTTATGTGTATCATATGGTGTGTAAAAGCTCGATAAAAAATTGAAATGGAAAGGTGTATTTATTGTATTGATATAAACGACGAACACTGTATTTGAGGTTCTCCCAATGATATTAAAGAATACAACTCATAATAAACGAAAAATTTCGAGTTATTTTTTAAATTTTACCAACCGCCAAAATTTTTCATCGTTCTTGTAAGACGGAATGCAAGGTACTTGTAGGTAAAATTCACAACTTTATTCTTTTAACTTTTTAAACTTGAAAATTTCTCTGTGAACATTTTTACAAACAAATTTATTTTCTACGGACATTGAAAAACGATTTTATTCTTAAATCTTTAATGCATCAAAATAGCAGGTAAAATCAACAAATAACTTTTTGAAGTGAGAAAAAATAATAAATTAAGGTGAAAAATAATTTTAGATGTAGGATAGAACTATAGTACCTGGAAGGTAAGTGGTTGGTTTGGATGGGTAAAGGAAGGATATAACTGTAGTACCTGGAAGGTAAGGGGATGGTTAGGATGGTTAAAGGAAGGATATAACTATAGTACCTCGAAGGTAAGGGGATGGTTAGGATGGTTAAAGGAAGGATAGAACTATGGTACCTGAAAGGTAAGGGGATGGTTAGGATGGTTGAAGTAAGGATAGAACTATGGTTACCTGGAAGAAAAGGGGATGGTTAGAATGGTTGAAGGAAGGATAGAACTATGATTACCTGGAAGGTAAGGGGATGGTTAGAATGGTTGAAGGAAGGATAGAACTATGATAACCTGGAAGGTAAGGGGATGGTTAGGATGGTTGAAGGAAGGATAGAACTATGATTACCTGGAAGGTAAGGGGATGGTTAGGATGGTTGAAGGAATGTCTGAGGTGAGAGGGGTAAGAATAATAGTTGCAGGGTTGAATCCCGGTATTACAGAACTCCTGGGCACCTGCCAAGTAATACAAGTTAATCATAAGTATATTTTTATGATATTTATGTTTTGTTAAATGAAGGGGGCAATTTTAGTTTTTTTCCCCGTTTTTCCTTTAGATGGATATTGAAGGATTTTTCTAACCATTAGTTTTCACAGAAGACAAGGATGTATATTTTTTAAATTCCATCCCCCCTAGCCCAAGGGGGGGGGGGGGGGGGGAAGATTTTTGATGATCTACTGGAAAAAAATAAAAAAAATTGACATGAAAGGCAAGTTTTTTATTACTTTTTACCCCCCCCCCCCCAAAAAAAAAATATTTACTCCTAAAAATCTATTTCCCTAATTCAGTGAAAAAAAAACATTAAAAAAAAATTAATTTATATATTACTCGAGAAACTATACACCCCTGCAGAATGGTTTTAATTACGCATTATAAGCCTTACAGACCTGAGAGTTGTTTGTGAAGACAGAATTATTTCCCGGTTTAGGTGCAAGCAGAGGTAAAGACCTAGAGATAGGAACTCGACGAGGATCGAACTCGGACATCTGAATTATCATAGGTTCTTTTTTTCATATCTATCTATCTATACACTAATCTATTACATACCAGGAGTTAGGAAATTAACTAATTTATGTATTATTCCGCAGTGAATAAGTCTTAAATTACTCTATTCTATAACAGTGATTAGGTTAATTAATCCGCTGTAGGCTGTACTGTCTACATACTTCAACTAATGACTAGGCCTGGTACTAATCTATTGCACAGGAGAGATTTAGTCTGTTTCCAATGTGAATTCACCACATACACCAGATACAGCGAGGGTAACGCGTCCTGGCGTAGTTTTATAAATAACTACTCCCCCTATATAATATAAGAACTATGGAATATAAGGGAGAAGGAATCGACCCAGCCCGCCCTATCATAAATTATGTATGCTTTGCAAACGGTACTACATTCCTTCTCCCTTATATTCCATACTCCTTGGTCATAACCCTCTTATGATGACCTGTGTTTGTAGCACTGTTCTCTCTGCGACAAGTTTCCTATTCTCCTCCTGTAGACTGACCAGCTGCTGGGTCTCAGAGCTAGCTGCCCGAGCAGACAACGAGTTCATCTGTTAAGCAAGGTCATGCCGAGATAAATATATCAAAGGGACTGTTAAAACGTAATATCAGGGGACCCTTTTTAAAGTTACAATGTGGTACCAATAACAGCTTTGTCTGATCAAGTATGAAAAATATATTGAAGTTTATGATTATGAAACTAAATATTTTAAATTATGGGTTCTTCTTAAGGAATGCATGGGAATTATCGGAATTAAAAACTTAAAAACCTAGTAAAGAACAAAATCTTCCAGATTACTGAGTAGATAAAGGTTTCAAGGGTACAGTTGCGCATCAGGTATAGCCATCCGTGCATGGAGGATCAAACCCCATATCAAGATACTTTTCAATTTTTCGTTTTTCACTGTTGTTATCGATATTTTAACACTTTTTTTAATCATTAAAGCTCATAAGCGCCGGGTACTTATAATTTCTATTGAGAATGTCTTCTGTAAATATGTCTTGGAATTCCAAAAATAATGTTTCACTCAAGAAATATATATTGAATTATAAATCGACTCGCCTGACAATTCATTTGCAGACACTCGGGACAGTCTTACCTCTTTCTTAGAAGAACAGCTTGAAAGATCTAAGGCTTCTCTGGACTCCGCCCTTTCAACCATGGTACCGCCCATTCTTGAGTTTAATATAATAATACCATCGTCCTCCGTAGCCTCCTGCCTACTCATACTACTCCTACTCCTTGTGCTCCCGGAGCTAGAAGCTCCATCAGTCTCTATGCTCCAAGCATCAGTATCATGGATACTGGATCCTAGGCTAAGATCTGCTCCAAGCAAACTATCATAATCATGCTTCCTAAAATGATATGTTTGGTAATTTCTTCCGGAGATTTCTTCATAAAATCACTTTAGTCCTTTTTTGGTTCTATTTTCTGCGTTATAAAATGTTTATGCTAACAAACAGCTATTAACGAGGCGAGCGCTGCAGCTAGGATAACTTTATCATTTCTTATTTTTTTTATGAAACAAATTTATATGAACAATATTTTTTTATCCATTTATATATGTATTTTACTGCGGGTAAAACTATTGAGCCGGCCATGCTAAAATTCACCTTGCACCAGTTCTTAAGTTTCCTTTGAAAAAAAAGATCAGATGATGTTTCCCATAATTTTCAAACTCATTCTGATTTTTGCTTTTAAGTGTAGCTCAAATAAATAATGCTAAGACAGAAAAAAATTGCCAAAATTAATCAAGATGGGTATCAAAATTAATCAAGATGGGTATCAAAATTAATCAAGATGGGTATCAAAATTAATCAAGATGGGTATCAAAATTAATTGGGTATCAAAATATCCAATCCATCTTGAAACATGAGCTCAGAAACGCTAAATTCGTAACAATCCCTTGAAAACTTAGCTAAGCAGAAGAAAAAAAACCCTGTTTTTAAACAGATATATGTCAAGATTTATTTTATTCATAAAGAAATTTTAGAAATATCGAAAAACTAAAAAACGGACAGTATTCATCTTTTGATACATTTATCAAAATGTTTTTGAATAATTAAAATATCGACTCTTATCCCAGTTTTTTTTAAAGAAGAAATTACTACATTTAAATGTTTTAAAAACTTTTTCTTTTATAAGTGTTCTAATTTTACTGGTGCAAAAAGGATTTGACATTTTCGAATAAATAGTTTCACCCTAATCTATATAACAAGCTCTTCGTACATATATATATATGGCCAAACTGCTAGACCAATTTGTCTGAAATTTTTTTATGAACTCATGGGCACCCTGGGAGTAACATTGGCTAACATAATTCTTTATTCAAAAATTGATTTTAAAAAATTCTCTTAATTTTCACGGGCAACGCCGGGCACTTTAGCTAGTTTTAAATAATTATTATTTGAGTTACTTATTTAATACCTGGGACCGCGACGCATCGGTCTGAGTGTATCTGAACTAAGGTCAGCTCCCAATACCTCTTCTAGATTAGTGTTTCGCAACAACTTAGAATCTCTGAAAATATCTCTCTGTTATGATAGATCTGAGGCCGAATTTAAAAAATTTAAGCCGCGGTTTAAATTTAAGCCGCCGCTCAAATATGGTTGGCTCCACTTAAATTTGTATTAAATTTTTCAAGATTTAAGCCGACGGTCAATGAAAACCGGTTTTGGGGGATTTAAGACGTGACTTAAATTCATTAAATTCGGACACTGATTTATTTAACGATTATTTCTTAAAAAGTGAATTTGTGTGAAAGCCAGTGCTGAGGATCCATTTAATTTTGATGAGGATCCGGATCCAGGTAACGAACATTTCTTTAAAAACTGAATTTTTTTAACACAGCGGATTTGTCAAATTTGTTTACCGATGTTTTTATGCAACCATTCAGAGAAAATAAAAATTTTGATAATCTCAACAGTTCAGATTTGAGTTTTGGGAGCACAAGATTTTTTTTGCAGTCTTCGGTTGATATTTTGCCCTTGGATCTTGCGGACCCAACGAACCCGGATTCTAAGCACTGGTGAAAGGTGTCTGTACCTGACAAGTACACTGTTGCTGATGTCATTCTTCTCCAAGATCTCATCCTTGATCTCCCGGATAGATTTGCAGTAAGCAATGCAATTGCATCGACCAGGAGATCTAGAGAGGTGGTGTTCTACTACAGTCGACGTCGCATATGTCAAAACAAAGATGGCGACTCCCTATTTTAATTTTGATTTTTACTATGCTTTCAAACAGCAGAAACACTAAAACTTTTAAATAGAAGTAGAGAAGTTGACAATTACTTGTTATTTGAAATATGCATGCTAGGGATTTAAGCATTATTAATAAAAAGTCGTCTTCATTGTATTGACTTAATCCCCGACCAATGTAGTTAACTATGCAATAATTAATCATGGAGAAAATACGATTCAAGTTTTAGAAGCTCCGTCAATATTAAAACCATGAGAAAAAATACTAAAATCAAAACTTGTTTGTGGCTAGAGAGGCAAAAAATCCTACTTTGTGTTTAATTCCTTGCACGCCTCGCCAAGGATAAGTTTGATTTTGTTCAATCTGTTCAATCTCTGGCTCAAGATTATCCTCTGCCTGTCTAACAGTAGTCTGGTTTTCTCTAAGCTCTCCTTAATAAGAACAACATTACAAAATTGACATATATTATATATACTTTGCTCGTCTGTCTGTTTGTTTCTTAATTTCATATTTGTAACTGATTAACGGCAAAACAGCTGAACAGATCGTGAACAAATTTTTTGTGGGAAGGTTTCTGGTACATTAAAATTGGAGAGAAAAAAAATTCCTACAATATTTTTTGATAATGCACTAATTCAAAAAGAAAAATCAGCCAAATTTGAAAATGATATAAAATGGTTGTATTTCAAAGTGGTAGATAAAAGTTAAAAATATTTGCAGGACTAGAACTACTGTGGAAAATATGATTTTCAAATGGGGGGTGGTAGGGGGGAGGAAGAAAAATAATTTTTCGGGAAAATATGTAGTAAATGCCCTACTCCATAAGGGTTTCTCAATCCCGTATCTATCCAGGTATAAACCCAAAATTGTTTTACTATCAATGTCAAACCGGACACAGTCTTCTCTATCAATGCCAAACCAATGGGCACGATCTCGTCCGCTATCAATAACAACATGGACACAAGCTAGTAATCTATCAATGCCAAACCACTGGGCACGATCTCGTCAGCTATCAATAACAACACACAAGCTTGTAGTCTATCTCACCGTAATCAAAGCGGAGTATATTCCAACTCACTTGTATTTAGAAATCTATGTTACCGATTAAGTTTAATATACGTATTTGAAAGATTAACATGGATATATATAAGCGTAGTTAAGCCAGTCACTGACGTAGTTATAAGTTAATCACAATACAGTTTTTGATATATTTACAGACGTAGCTAGGTAAGGTTAATCGTATTACAAGTTTTGCGTAGTTAATGACGAGCACATTTAGATTTACAGACAATGAACAACGTAATATATCTAGTTATTTTCAGGTTAACAAATATGGGATTGCTGTATTTATTACAAATATACAGTATATGCACTTTACACCCCTAAATTTTTCTAAAAAAATAAACATTTTACACTCCTGCAATAAATAAAGGAAATTATATTGCCATGCATAGCATCCTAAACCCCTTAATGCCTCCTGTGATGCAAAGATAAATAGCTATTTTCAAAAAAATTATCTGGATGAAGTAGATAGAAGACAGACCTGTTTAATTCTTCTCTTGAGCCGGCATCTCTTGCTTGCTTCATTGTTCCTTAATCTCATCTTTTGATAGTAGTTCACCATCAACCCGGCATCACCATGATTACTAATACAATTCAGTGTTTAGTAAAAATATTTTTTTTTAAGTTCTACGATTTGTTTTCGAAAAAGAGAACATTTTACATTACACATTATGATTTCTAATAAAATTCAGTGATTCGTAATAATATTTTAACAACAAAAATAAAGGTCTACGTATTTTTTAAAAAAGAGGGCATTAACTCCGCGAAACCATTTAAAAATAAATTTGGAGGGTGTTAATTTTACAAAGACTCAAATCTTAGGTCGGAGTATCAAAATAATTACCTATGTTCTGGTAACGTGGAAGAACGCTGAAAAGCAGGCAAACTTATCTAAATAATAACTATTATTTAATATTTTCCAGGAAAAATAATAGTTTAACTTAGTTTTTCATAGTTTAATTACTTCATGAAAAGTAAAATACTATGAATTCCCCACGACCAGACAGGGGGTAGGGGAAATTTGAGAGCTTAGGATTTTTTACACATGACTGTTTGTTATTTTTTTTATTCATTTTGTATCCACAGATCCATTAGAGAAAGGGGGGGGGGACACAAAACGTATTACTCTCCGGAAAATTTAAACAGTGGTTAAACATAACTTAGAATTGTCGTAGGAGGCTGATTTTTTGCATGCAAACTCAGAATTATGTATATTATGTGCATTTTTTGGTTTTGAAGGAATCTGAGCAAAAGTGCGCGCGCGCGCGCGCTTTTTGAGAAAAAATACGACTTTTTTGACAGTAAATCAATGTTAACTTCATTAATTGCACTTGAAAATTTTTCCTGACACTCTTGAAACAAATATGCGCTAAAAAAATTCAACCCCAAAGGCTTAAATGTCCGCGCGCGCGCGCAATAAAAGAAAATATCTTTG